TCTTCTAATTTGACATGATCTGAGAGCAAACACAGAAGCAATTCGCTTACCAAGCCAAATTGATGAAGACTACACTCTATATCCTTGCATGTGACAATGTCAGAGGAAGCAATACCTTGAGAAGTCCCAGCAGATGGGAGTCAATATCACAGTTGAAAAAAGAGCAATCCGAGGCACCAATCAAGCCACTGGTTGCTTTATATGACAATAGCCCCTCTGTTTGACCGAGAATCAAGGATCGACTTGCTTGAGCCACCGGAGAAGGATCTTCAAGTGGACCATGTGAGTTGATCAATTTCTGCAACCGCTTTTAAGAAACACAAGGTGAACATCTTATGACGGATAAAGATACAAAAAATGGAACAAGTAGTTGAGAACTGACCAAGAGTTTTTTTAGTTGAAATTTAACACTTCCAAGCAAGCTTTCCATTGGATTTGTTACATATCCATCAGCAGACAGACTGGCCAACACAGATAGAACAGCAGACTGAAAAAGAAAATTACAAATTTAATTGATTGTAACTTTATATGCAGGGACAAATGCATGTGACTACTGCGAAATACCTCATATCTAGAAGCAACTTCATAGAATCTTAAACGATGAAGGATGTAAGTCGCAAGGGAAGCAACATCATGGCGTGGTTTTTCCAGGAACAACTTCAACAATTGACTATACCCTTTGCTAAACCCAGAAGGCACATTCTCATCTTCCCTGGGCCACCAGCCTAAAATTCCTTCACAACCGATTGGATGCCGAGTAGCCCGCTCTATAACTCCAAGTAAGAGTAAGACAACTGCGGAAGAATTCCGTATGTCATGAGAGAAAAAGTGGCCAAGTTGCTCAATTCCCCTATGATTCACAAAGTGGAAGCAACTTTCTCTGCTAGAACACAATAAAAAGGCCACACACAGGCCCAAGAAGTTCTTCTTCTGAAATAAAAATGTGAAAGAAGCCCATCAGATTCTGTCAGCACCAAAAGTTAAAAAATCTGGGTATATTGCAAACAAGAGTAAGAAATATCCTCCTGGCACACAATATCAAGGAGAGACAGTTGACCATGAGACTGAGTGGATGAGATTAAGAGATCACTTCTTATCTTAAAATTACAAATGGAAGACAGTTGATAATAGCTAAGAGGTGCTTACTGTAAGATAATCACCTTTAAAGGCTCCTGTTGTTGAGAAGAGTTCCTGTCAAAACAAAGGCACGAGCCCAACATGTCCACCAACTGTTTGGAAGTAGCCACATCACCTTCAGATTCAAGAAAACTGACGTCTGCCAATGACTGGGCTGCATCATTTCCTGAACAACCCTGAAGGACTCCAAGAAGCTCGTTCTTAGCCTCATCAATAATATGGGAAAACTCTTCCAACTCCTCGGATCCGCCTCCATCAATTACCTTGTGACACGAATCATGGGCAACATGGGAACAAACAGCTGTGACCATGGTACTTACAACCTTATGCACAGATTCCTCCATGAGGGGCATCTCCAACATCTTTGAGATGAGTTGCAATAACTTTTTGACTTCCATAGGCAAATCCAGAGCGGCGACAGGTAGAGATAATACTTTCAGAGAGATTAATGATTCTGTTATGACCCTAGAACTCGAATGCAATGCCAGAGGCAGATCTTCCAGCTTTCCCTCGGCGGAAGTGACAAGATTAGTTAAGGAGTTATCATCAAACTCGATATTAAACTGACCTAGATCCTCTGCCGTGTTTCCATATATGACTAAACTCAGGCTGCGGTAGCTGCCTCTTACAACTAGATGATTAGTTACAACAGCCTGCATCGTAGCAGAGTGACTATTTTCAGATAAAGTTTCAGAATTTGAGAATATTATATCCATCCCGCAAAAAGACTTGAGGTCTCAATACAGGAGAACAGAACATCAGACATTCAGAGTGAAAATATCAGCTCCAATGAAAGGGGGGAACTTTATCAAAGACAGATGGACATTGTGTGCAAAACAATAGGTTCATTACTCATCATAGAAAGAATTATGTTCACTAGAAGCAAATGCAACACTGATATTCATATTAATTTAGATAGTGCAGGTACCTCCACTTCCAAAACATTTGACGACGAATGAGAATATAGGAAGGGGTGGCACAAGCGTCTGAATCTCGTCTCTCCCTCGGATTGTACAAATACCTCCAAAGCAAATGAAGGAGGCGCAGTAGCACTGCAGCAAGATGATAACGCTTTAGTCAAGGATTCCACACAAAAGCCAACACAATCCTACAGCTTCAAGTGATGGCATTACACAAAGTACAGACTTGTGATAGGGCAAACCAACGTAATCAAACTATGAAGTCGATTCGGACACAACAGATTCTCGTCGTTTCCTAAAACGCACATAGAAACATTAAAAGGCACCAACAGAGACGTACCCAACCAAGGACACTGCTCGGGAGGTAGAAGAGGCATTCTGTTCGAGGAACTCGCAAGCTGTAATCACAACCGGCTCACCGAACAAAACCTGCAGCAGAAAGAAAGCAAGAACTTCGTTCATTAAGCTGCCTTTCAGGAAAAAAATTCGAACAACAAATTCATGATCTAAGATACAGTAACAGATTGATTCCACGAGAGTGAGGAGCCGGCGTAGGCAGAGAACGGGAACACTGACCTCGTCAACGTACTCGTCAAGTTGAGGGTGGACGAAGGTCTGGGAGAACAAGACGCAGGGCTCGGGTCGAACCATATTTGGTCGTTAATATTCGGACCCTAGATGGTTATTCAGCCGAGAGTGAAGAAAGAATTCAAGAGCTTTCTAGGGTTTATGCGAGGGTATAACACGAACTCCTAACTGAGAAGTGAGGAAGACCACCGGCTGACGGAGGCGGACAAGGTGCTAGACTGCTAGTGGATTTATTTGCCAACGAGAACGACGGCGGGCTTCATTTGGTTACTCGCAGTCGTAGCCAATCCGACTGCTGTCCGTTGCTGTAGACCGGACTCCGATTCCGATTCTTTTATGTGTTCCGATTGCTATTACATGATTATTATTAATTATTATCACTAATTACGAGTTAGATTGTGAAGTGCATGTTTAGTCATTCTATTTATCAACATATTTCATTTTTATCACTCAAGAAACTTTTCTTGTTTACTAGTCACTGATTCATAATCCTTATTTCGTCATCAGACGTCGTCGATCACTAGTTGTCCAATTTTATTAAGTGTATGTGTATCCTACATGACAGTAGCAGTGATATCATGTTAACGGTTATACTATTAAACTAACTAATAATCGACGATTATCGGTATAATTTTTCACTAGGGTTAATGAAACGTGCCGGTCATTATAGACTCAAATCAAAAGGGGAGAAATTTGGGTTTAATATCAACGGTCAGTTGTCGATTGCTCTGGCCTCTGGCACATCGAGGCTCTCAACGCAGTTAAGTACTAACTGAGGACCGGAGGATTACTCACCTTCTTCCATTCCAATAAGTCTTATTAAACGAGAGATAGGCGTTAATGACTTCAAGTAGGGGTCTTTCTTTGTTCGCATCGCAATTAATAGGAAGGGGGGGGGGGGTTGGGGGACAATGCGGGGAGCTGCGGATACTCCTATTACACACGTAGTCTCTGAATAATGAGAACCAACTATGTAGTATCTATGTCGAGGCTTTAAGTATGGTATACGTCATTAGCACGATCTTTTGTAGGAGTTACCGTAATAACGAACTTGCAAAATGAATCACTCTAAGTTAAGGATATGAAATAGCTAGACCAACGGCGCGAGAGGATGCGGAAACTAACACAACACTCTAAAGAAAAAGGATTCTATGGATGTTTTCATTCAAGGCGGAAAAACAAGAGATTCTCGAGTTCACAACCAGACTCTCACCCAATAGCTTATTCCAGAGGCATTCTTCGTTATATGGAAAAGACCTAGGGAGACATTTAAGAAATAGCAAACAGCTCTCCAGTACCAGTAGACCCTATTTTTGTTTAAAAAAATTAGCAACAGCTACAACAACACTTCCTTTTGGTGGCTCTGTCCCGACCTTATGGAAGTCAATATTAACTTCCATCATGTATTGAAAGTCTTCTAAAGACGTCTGACGCGAGTGTGTCATTAGTGGGATGAGATGGTAGCAAAAGGGAGTAGCGAAGGGGAAATTCGTTAGTAGAGAATACAAGGTGTCTTTCCCTGATTTGGGTTCGTATTAGTCTCCCTAACGGCTTAGTCACAAGCTCCCTGCCCTATTTCTTTATAGCTTATAGCCCTATGGCTCTTTAAGATTTTCAATACCCATGTTTCCGGAAGTTACACTTTCGTCCCGTCTAACAGAGGACTTGGCAGTTGTCATTTTGAATTGGTTGCGAATCATTCAGAAGGAAGAAGTTAAGAAAACTCGCTACAAGCTAATGCACCATAATTATACACTTACAAAGCCTCCTGTAAAAGTTTGAATAGAATGCATTTCTTCATACCAGACACTTTGACTTGGTTGGGATTGAAAGCAGCAGTTGTGGTGGAATTCCGTGGACTCTTCCCAGGGGAGCGTCAATCAACTATTGCCCGGCTCTAAAGCTTGTCTCATCTCTCTAAAAAGTAAGAGTAACGAATATACTCAAACTTTGTGAGAGGAGTGAATACTGACAAACCTTCAATTTCAAACTCCAAAGCATTTCTCTCATTTCACTCGAGCAACTCCTATATTCCACTTCTTTTTTATTTGAAAAGTTCAACTTGCTCAAAGAAAGAAGAGTCTAGTCTGATCTGAATTCATGTCTGTCTGCTGCTATGCTCGGGAATGGTACCAGTAGTACAACAACTGTATCTTATAGCCAATGTAAAAGAAGCTGTAGAAGAGGGTCACACTCCAGTATCCGCTTCAATTCATGTAGCTACTATGGTAACAACTGGCGTTTTCATGATAGTAAGATGTTCCCGTTTATTTGAGGGCTTACCCTCAGCACCCTGCTTTCTCCGACGATCTAGAAAAAAAATCGCGCGTTGTCGTACAAGACCTTATATGAGAGCCTCCCATTTCATTTTTATTGATAGAATATTGATAAATACGAAGTACCGAAGAGCTATTTTATTGGATGGATTGAAATAGGTCCGAGAACTGCAATTAGATTAATGACCGAATATCAAAGAAGGATCAAGAACTCATCAAGCTTATGGACATCTAATCCCTAGTGAAGATCAGGAGTAGGGGAACCGTTCTTTCCTCAGGGGTTTAGAGGAGCTTGCATCGTGGAATGAGGCTTCATACTGCACCACCGTAGTACAAAAACAAAATTCGACATTGGGGTGATAGTGCAAAAACTCAATTATCAAACATTCCAGTTTTCAATACAACGGCTAGCATTTCGCCGAACGCTCTTTAACTCCATCCTTTGATGTCTTCTATTTGAATTAGTCGATTAGCTTTCGAATGCGGTAACCAATCAATTTCGCATGCCAGTTCGTATGTCTCTAAGCTTATACACTAGTTGGAAAAAATTCAAACTATAAAGAAAGCAATTGGTTCGAAAGTTGTGACTATTTCGACTGGTAGCATTACAACTTTCTTTTAACTTATTAAGACATCAAGTAGAAGTTCTTATTGCTCCAGATGAGGAAAATATCACCCAAACCAAGAGAAAAAAATATCGAAGAAGGGGAGAGGATAAAATCAATGATTTATTCACTCACTCTTTCTAGCATATTCCAATTTCCGGTCAATAGAAAGCACTCCTTTCAGGAGAGGGAGGTCGTTTTCCAATAGTCGAAAAGGATCTACGCTAGCCCATTTCGTTGGGAATTGCTAATGAAAGTTTTCTTTTCTTAGTTTAGTCACCGATAGAGAAAGTAGCTAGGCTTTTCGATGTTATGAAAGAAATAGATCTTAGTAAATGATGGGGAAAAGCTGGTTTGCTACATAATCAATGAGAATCGTACAGACAAGCGAAGACCAGCCAGACACTGAGGGCTAAAAGGTGGAGGACTGATATCGAGTACAATGTATTGTACTAGTCCACACATCTCTAAATAGCACTCCCTTGGCAACCTATAAGAAAAATTATTAGGAATAACCAAAGCCTAGCTCTATCGAAACTTACCTCAACGACTTGAACTTCCTATAGACTTCGAACCGAAAGAGAGTGAGGGATTCAAAGGTTACCAGAGAGGTAAAATTGCATTGTTCTTGCAATATGATCGCTAGAGAGGCGGAGAGAAATGAGAATTAGGGTTTGTTGCTTTTCGGGGGTATGGCTCGAATGAAGGAGGCGGCAACAGCATGCTAGGGTTTACCCATCTATTAGCAGCATATATATATCACGGACAAAACGACATCGTTTTGCGGGATGGGTAATCCGTCTGGCAAGTCTCGGGGCGGATAGTCGTCGATCCGTCACCAACCAAGACCCAAGGTTGACTGATTAGGTTCACCACCGCTCGTTGACGAGCCTCAGAATGCAACCATTTGGGCAGATATCTGGCAGGCTTTGGGCGGGTATCCGCCTACAGGTCGGGGTCGCCATCCCTACAAAGATAAAAAGGTGCCTCCCCTCCTGTGGTGCAATAGTTCCAAAAACTCCATTTTGTACACTACTTGAGAGTCGTTGAAGATAAATATAGCAAATGATGACCACATGGCTAATAAAATTGCCCACTTCCACCAAGTTTTGGATGAATGATACAAACAGCAAAGAGTTTGCATATGGAGTCTCTGTTCTTTTCCTGATTTATTCTTGGATCAACGTCAACAGCAAGAAAGGATTTCTAAGTTTGAAGGAACCCCATGACTAGTGTTCACAGAATGTAAAAGTACATTTCATAGATAGATCTTGCTGCAGTTGGCTGGACAAAAATCACCTATTAGTGTTCTTGATGTAAGTAGAAGGCTTATTCAGAATGAGTTCAGTTAGGGGATGTTCCACATCAGAATCAGGCTACGATTTGTCACGGTATACTAGGATCATTCCGTCGACAGTAACGACAGTAACCTCTTCTTTACACGTCAACAGTTCATTCGCTATCACCATATGCATCTTGTACTTTCTAAGAGCCATGTCGGCCTTCTCCAGAAGAATCTTCGAGTTTGTCTCCAACTGAGCACAACAAAGTAAACAAAGAGGTTAGTTGTTATCCTAGAAAGAAGAGAACACCAGTCACATGGAAGAAGCTCAAAGGATGTCAACAAAGTGCTATAGATGATATCTATATACCTTGAATGGTATGCAGAAAGCGAGTAGAGCCCATTCTTTCCTTAGGATTGCTAGCATTTTTGGCACTTGAACAAGTCGCATATCCAAAGGCCCGAATGCGGACTGAATCTTATACTCTGTCTGCAATAGGTGGTCAAACAAATAAAGCAATGAACATTACAAGGGATAAAACATAGATGTCTGAAATTGCAACATGATGAAAAGGTTTACCATGGTCTGCCATGGAACATAGAAGTCTGAAACTGCAGCAGCACGATGAAACATGGCAAGTGGCCCGAGCGGCTTCATTGCTTTTGCAATTATTTGTAACATCTGTAAGCAACATCAAACGTTTCGGCATTTACATGCAGGGAGGAATACAGAAAGCTCCAGTCTATATATGTCACTGGTCCGCCAATATCAAACATTTTTGTGTTCCAGGGAGGAAAAAGAAGCCTAAAGTTCACCTGAAGATACTCAAATATAGTAGTGAAGGGAAGTTTTAATAGTAGGTTTCCTGCCACAGCCTGTGGAAGAAGTTGAAAGAAAAGAGTGAAAAGTGGCTCAATCATAAGCTAACTTAAAACTCTAGCTTTGTCGAAGCACAAATCACAAAGAATACTATGACTGAAGTTTTAATAAGAGGTCAATGTTGCATACTGCATGATGATCACTAATTGACTTCTTCACAGCATCTGAACACAATTGTCACACTGAAATGTTATAGAAATCTGGGTTATATCATTACAAAGACTACTATTTTGACAACCATATTTAGCAGATTATGATTATATTGCAACCAGTGCAGAATATGAACTGTCCACAATCAAAGAAAACATATTTACATTCCCGACACACTAAAACCAAATGAATGTCCTTTCACATGAGGTGCAGTATGAGTAATCAGAGAGAGAAATTCAATCAAACCTTGAATGCTGAAATCTCCATCAAGCTCAAGACATTTAAGCAGTGGATCTTCAAGAAGAGAACGGGTATATGACATGATGGTTCCCCTGAATGCACAGATTACATCACATATAATTCTTGACTATTTGCCGGAGATTAAGCTCGTGCAGTCAAGAGAAAGCAATTGATACAAGAAACTAACTCTCACCTCCTATATAGAAATACAACAGCATAACCAGCCTTAACAAAGTACCTGAAGACAGTAGAAGAAAACAAAAGGGTCAACAAGAAGAGCGCAAAACAAATTGGAAGGCATTATCACAATACAAGAATCACATGTGACGTGACTCATTACATACTCTGCTGATGTTGCTCCTCTATGGCCTGAACTCAAATTATCGATGTAATGAACGCAGCGTTGCTCCAGTGGCGTGACTCACATGTGACGTGACTCATTACATACTCACGCAGACAACCTTCATGTGCCCTCCATCCCCTGCAGCCAAATCTCAGCATTCAGAAAAGAGGGTAAAGAAGTTTGCAGCTCCCAATCAGTTCTGCAACAGTTCCATGTAGACTTGCCTGCTGTAATGGTGGAGTTGAGCTCGACGAACTCCATAACCCTTTCTCCCAAATTATCACCCTCTTTTAGAGGAGGAGCCGAGGTGAAGAAGGATGTTATTGATTCATCCAATGAGGTTGCTGACAATGCTCCATCTCATGACTCCATTTTTTTAAATCCCTAATACAGGAAAATGGGACAGGATCCATAACATAACTTAACTTAGAATAGTACATCAACTACTTCAAGGAGCACAGAGTATGCAGTATTTAATCTTCAAAACACCACAGTATAATAACCAAATCGACGAGGCCAACTAGGTTCATATTCAAGAAGTTAACAATGTGGAAGAAGCAAGCAGTCCTTCAACAGAGGCCATAAATCTCCTATCATCCCCATTTCCACACAAAGAAACTGTCCCATATATGGTAGAAAAAGCCTTATTCAAACGAGGAAAAGGTAAGGAATTTAAAAGATGATTGCCTGAAATTGCAATCAACCAACCTTGGCCGCAGTAACTACAGGCTGGATGTCAATGTCGGTGGTCTGAATGGCTCCTTGGGCCTACTTAGAGATCTCAGTGCCAGCAGGAGAAGCGATCTTCAATGCATGCTTCCCAATTCGGGACAACCACTTCGATCGCGGGCTTTAGAGCATCAACAGTGCAGCTTAAAACCTACTTCCACAAACTGCTCACGAGGCTATCAAATTTGAAGACACAAACTCAGAGATCCATTTAACAAAACTAGGCCAGGGGTTTCATCAGAGAACTGTCGAGAGGAGCTCAGGGCGAAGTTTAAGAGGGAGAGTGATGAAAATTGTTGATATGGTGGAAAGAAATGGATAACAGAGGGAATAAAGTGCCACTGTAGTTGTTCCCGAAATTTTGTGGGCGGCGATCAGAGATGATAGGTAGCTGAGTAGGTTGTCAAACCGGGATAAGTCATCCAGCCGGTTTGGCAATGAGTTTGAGATTTAATGGTCGGATCGGGTTCAACCGGATTAAGCCGGTTTTGAAAAAAGGGAAAAGCAAATGCCAGAATTAGGACATTTTTGTCTATCATCGGGGCCAAAGAAGAGTTAAAAAACTTGATTAATTCTCCTTGAAGAAGCTCATATTGTAGAGGACAATCTGTGAGGGAAACAGTATGGAGAAAACGGATTGAAGAGGTGATTTTGATCACTCTCCTTAGAGTGTTTATTTGCCTCCACTATGTTGTTGCTGGTAGGATTTAGGCAAACAACCCCCAGGAGTCCCTCCAATCAAAGTCAGAAAGCAGCACCTTTCGTGACTTCTGTGTTTGTATATTTGGAGAAGGAAAAACGGAGAGAAGAAGATGAACGTTGGACGAGAAGTCTGGCTGCAGAAGACTTTTATAGTGAAAACGGTAGTTCCCTTCTGAAGGGTTACGTCGTTTCACAAAAGTCAAACATCAAATAATTATCCGGATTAATTAATTAAAATAATTCCGGTAATTAATTAGCCAAAAATTCAAATCCAAATGCGTCAGTCCTTCAATAAAGGCCATAAATCTCCCGTTATCCTCATTTCCACACAAAGAAATTGCCCCATATATGGTGAAATAAGCCCTATTCAAATGAGGAAAAGGTAAGAAATTTAAAAGATGATTGCCTGAAATTGCAATCAACCAACCTTGGAAGCAGTAACTACAGGCTGGATGTCAATGCCGGTGGTCTGAATGGCTCCTTAGGCCTACTTAGAGATCTCAGCGTCAGCAGGAGAAGCGATCTTCAATGCCTGCTTCCCAATTCGGGACAGCCACTTCGATCGCGGGCTTCACAGCATCAGCAACGCAGCTTAAAACCTACTTCCACAAACTGCTCATGAGGCTGTCAAATTTGAAGACACAAACTCAGAGACCCATTTAACAAAACTCGACCAGGGGTTTCGTCGGAGAACTGTCGAGAGGAGCTCATGGCGAAGTTTAAGAGGGAGAGTGATGAAAATTGTTGATATGGTGGAAAGGAATGGATAGCAGAGGGAATAAAGTGCCATGGTAGCTGTTCCCGAAATTTTGCGGGCGGCGATCAGAGATGATAGGTAGCTGAGCAGGTTGTCAAACCGGGATAAGTCATCCAGCTGGTTTGGCAATGAGTTTGAGATTTAATGGTCGGATCGGGTTCAACCGGATTAAGCCGGTTTTGACAAAAGGGAAAAGCAAATGCCAGAAGTAGGACATTTTTGTCTATCATCGGGGCCAAAGAAGAGTTAAAAAACTTGATCAATTCTCCTTGAAGAAGCTCAGATTGTAGAGGACAATCTGTGAGGGAAACAGTATGGAGAAAACGGATTGAAGACGTGATTTTAATCACTCTCCTTAGAGTGTTTATTTGCCCCCACTACGTTGTTGCTGATAGGATTTAGGCAGACCACCCCTAGGAGTCCCTCCAATCAAAGTCAAAAAGCAGCACCTTTCGTGACTTCTGTGTTTGTGTATTTGGAGAAGGAAAAACGAGGAGAAGAAGATGAACGTTGGACGAGAAGTCTGGCTGCAGAAGACTTTTATAGTGAAAATGGCAGTTCCCTTCCGAAGGGTTACGTCATTCCACAAAAGTCAAACATCAAATAATTATCCGGATTAATTAATTAAAATAATTCTGGTAATTAATTAGCCAAAAATTCAAATCCAAACGCGTAAAGTGCTAAGTGCATAGTGCGATTTAATATGTCAAATTAAATAGCCCACACTTTTTCCAAAACCCCACTAACCACTTTATCCAATGACTACAGTGGAAAGCAAACTTAAAAACAACTTGCACTTTCCTTCTCCCACCAATGTGGTATTTCTTTTACTCTTTTGAGTTTTGACTACTCTAACACAATTGAAACATACTGTTACAAGGCTATATTAGGTACAGACGTGCAAGAACCCACTCCATCGACACCCAAAAAATTAATGATGTGATGAAAACAAAATGAAATCAAAATATATGCTCTTTCTTTTGATTATTACCAGAAGGGAACGACCAAACTGCACCAAGAAGCCTGGCAATCAGGACTCTTCCATCGTCAACAATCAACGAGTTGTGCTCTCAATCCGTTCGGACTCTGTTCACCAATCACCGCTAACACTTAATCTTTGATAATGCACCATAATCGCTTACAGGGAAAGGGACTGACAGATAGGACGAAAGGTGAGAAGGCGGAAGGAAATTGAAGAAGTCATGCGGCGGGATATTAATAGGGAGAAAGGGAAGAGCGGGGCGGGGATCTGGGTCGAGACAAGGGGGCGAGGAGCGACGACAAGGGGTGGGGCGGGGATCGGCAACGATGAGAGGTGGGGCGTCTCCGCTCGACAGACGAATGTGAGGGCTCTGCTGGCTGCTTCGCTCGGCGGACGAAAGAAAGGAAGGGATGCGATGTGATTCAGAAGAAGTAAGGCATAAGGTTTAGATTTGTCAATTCATAAGAAGATCCATCCAAAATGACGACGCTTTGTTCATGGCCGGTGACCGGATAAATCCGGTCAAACCCCGGTTTTGACCGGCTACCTGCTAGTTCTAATTATGGCTGGTGAAGGCCCTTTTAGTGTCCGGTTCCGGCCAGATCCGGTCCAACCGACAGGTTCAACCCCGGTTTGACAACCTTGTAGCTGAGGCACGAATCTGTTTTTTTTTTTTTCCTTCTTTTTTTCTTCGGAAAGATTTCAATGTAATTCGTTGTCCTGCTGAAGCTTCAAATGCTGCACAATACAGTTCCAATATGAAGGATTTTGAAAGTTGGATCCTAGAGTTAGAGCTAAAAGATCATCAAGCTACGCGTCCATGGTTCACCTGGCTTAATAAGCAAGATGCTCGTCCAATAGCGAAAAAACTTGATAGAGTATTGGTGAATTTTGAATGGTTGGATAAGATGGTGGAGATTTATGTTTTCAGATCATTGTCCAAGTTTGGTGGATACTGAGGCTGCAAAGCAGTCTTTGCCTAAGTCGTTTAAATCTTTCATTTCTGGATCAAGCACCCAAAGTTTGATGAGTTGCTTAAGAAGGCTTGGGAGAGCAAGGTGTCAGGGCCGCCAATGATAAAAGTTCATAAGAAGTTGCGAATTCTCAAGAAGCTCCTGAAGGAATTAAATCGTGAAGAATTCTCTGATATCAGAGAGAGGGTGAAGGTTAAAGAGGCTGAACTTGATTCTATACAATAGGAAGCCCTATCCGCCTTTGATAGTGAAGTGTTTAAGCGGGAATCTGTTGCTCTACTGAGTTACATGAGTTACTGCAGGCTGAAGAATCTTTCTTACGGCACAAATCTAGGGATCTCTGGCTTAAAGGGGGTGACTCTAATACTCCATATTTTCATCGATCTCTGAAAACCAGGCAGCAGAGGAATATGATAACTATGCTTAAGAATGAAGAGGGGAATAAGGTTACTGATTTAAAAGAACTGGGAGACATTGCTGAAGGGTTTTATAAACGATTGATGGGACGAAAGCATCCTTATGTGATAGAAGAATCTGATGAGTTCTACTCAGAGCTCCTGAGGAAGACTTTATCTAGTGATGAAGGTCTTTGTGATCCTGATACAGAGGAAGAAGTAAAGAGTGTGGTCTTTGCAATGAATGGGGATAAGAGCCCTGGGCTTGATGGATATTCTGCAGCGTTCTTTCAACATGTTTGGCCTGTTACAGGGGCAGAGGTAACGTTTGCTATTCAAACTTGTTTTCATGATAGTAAAATGCCTAGAGAAGTGAATGCCACAATTTTAGCTCTTGTTCCTAAGATCCAGAACCCTGATGAAATGAGATTTTTTTTAGACCTATCTCCTATTGCAATACTATCTACAAAGTCATAGCCAAAATTATTGCTAATAGGCTTAGGATTCATCTGCCACATCTTATTAGCTTGAACCAAACAGCTTTCATTAAGGGGAGATCTATTGGAGATAACATTTTGCTTTCTCATGAACTTGTTCACAAGTATGCTCAGAAAAATGTTTCTCCTAGATGTGCACTCAAAATTGATTTGATGAAAGCCTTTGATTCAGTTGATTGGCTTTTCATTTTCAAAGTGTTGAAGAATATGGGGTTTCCAGATCTGTTCACAAGCTGGATAAGAATGTATGTGAGTACTCCTATGCTAAGTGATGGGTTAAATGGAGGGTTAGTGGGTTACTTTCCTGCCTGTAAAGGATTTAGACAAGACTACCCTCTTTCTCCTTATCTGTTTGTGATTGTAAAAGGATTGGTATTACTCATCTATGCTTTGCAGATCATCTTCTAGTCTTCTCTGATGGCTCTAATTATGGTTTTCTAAGATTTCAAGAGAGCCTAGCTCATTTTAGAAGGCTTTCTGGTTTGCAAGTTAACCCTAGTAAATGTGAGTTGTTTTTTGGGGGCTGCCTGGCCCGGAACAGAAGGTGAGGGCTACAAGATATGGGTTTTCACTTGGCAAATTCTCTGTCAGGTATCTGGGGGTACCCTTGTCTTCGGGGAAGCTCACTGTCTCAGCATGTAAACCTCTTATTGATAAGATTGTAGCTAGGATAAATAGCTGGAAATCAAGATTTCTATCATAGGTTGGTCGTGTTGAACTAGCCAGCTTAGTATTGTATAGCTTGCATCAATACTGGATGGTTGTTTTTATACTTCCAAAGGCAGTGGTTCGAGAGGTGGAAGGAATATGTAGTAATTTCTTATGGGGTGTGGGACATGGAGGAAGAATGAAAGCAAAGATTGGATGGAACCACCTAATATTTCCTAAACAGGAGGAGGGACTTGGTCTGCAAGATTTGGCAACTTGGAATCAGGGCCGTCCCATTATATTCGGAGGCCCTGTTCGAAAATTTAAATGTGGCCACACAAAATTTTCTCGCAAATGTGTTCAAAATAAAAAATAATAATAAAAATTACACAACTTCAAAATTTTATTACAAATTAATATTATTATATATTATCTGATATTATCTACACTTAGAAACTATCATTTTGAAACTTTTGGGTTGACATAATTATAAATTATAACCAAAGATTAATAATTTCAAATTTTCAATCAATATAAGTTCTCTGCAAAAGAAAAGGAAAAAAGATTAGAACTTAAAACAAGTTGAGTAGGAGACTGGATAAATTTTCAATCAATATGACTTAATCAGAATTGAGTATAAATTCATATTTAAGCGTTGGATGCTTCTGGGAAGTTGAGAAATTTTGAGGAAAGAGAAGATTAAATAAGTTAGCTGATATTTAAATTCAACAAACCAATTGTAGCTTAGTGGTTGAATCTTTTTATAATAAAGAAGAGGTTGGTGGTTCGATTCTCCTCCCTCCCTCCCTGCGTCTATGTACAATGGGTTTTTGTGTGGCCATGTGGGCTTCGCTAGCCCAAGCGGGCCTCTGGTCTTATGGATTGCAGGCCTGCGATCGTATGGATTATGGGCCCCCAAAACTTGAGGCCCTGTGCTGTAGGTCTGACCAGCACAGGGTCTGGGCCGGGCCTGCTTGGAATATTGCTTGTGTCACTCGTCATATTTGGCTTCTGTTAATGCAGCATGGATCATTATGGGTGGCGTGGATCAGCACTTACAAACCGAAAGGCCAAGATTTTTGGCTTTATACTGGTGGCTCTGGATCTTGGAACTAGAAAAGTATTATGAAAACTAGGCTGAAAGTCTACACTTATTTTCATCAGCAGGGCAGGAAATTTACTGGGATCAGGAACGAATGGAGGTTTTCTCCATTAGACGTATCTGGGAGACTCTCAGGCCGAAACAACAGAAAGTGGCATGGTCTAATATCTTATGGAAGGGTAGCTCTATCCCTAGAAATAGATTCATTACTTGGCCGATTATTAAAAGAGCTAAAGATAGAATGATGAAATGGGGCTTTGATGGTAGTGTGGGATGTGTTTATTGCAATTGTTAGCTTGAGACAATTGATCATTTGTTTGCAGCGTGTCCAATGTATAGGAAAATGGTTGGTATGTTGTTCTGTAGGAGTTCAGGGGTGGCTTCCTCCTTGGAGAGTGAACTAGTTTGGGTGCAGCATCAGTTTGGGACTCATACAGTCAAGTCGCAGGTTCGCAGAGCTCTTTGGCAAAGCTTGGTGAGTGTGATTTGGAGAGAAAGGTGCAGCAGAGTTTACAGTGGTAGATGCAGGGATTGTGATGTCTTATGCATGGTTGTTAGGGAAGAGATTATAGGGTTGTTTGGGAGTTCAAATTATGAGTCCTTTTGTGTTTGGTTAACAGTAGAGGTTGTAACTATCTTTTGAGTTGATCCCTAACTAGCAAGGGTGTTGCTAGTGTTGCTTTTTTGATGAAATGAAACAAATCCGATTCATCAAAAAAAAAAAAAAAAACAAGCACGGATCTGGTGCAAGGTAGTAGGGAACGAGTAACCAGATCGTAGACCAAGTCTCACTTATCATATTTTAGTGGATCCAAAAAATCCATATTTAAAAGTGGAGAATTACATATATTTTTATTTTTCATTTTTTTTAATCGGCTTATATCTTTTTTGTTTTAACTCTGATTTCAATTTTTTTGCATAGATGGAATGAATTCGTTGTGCTCTACAAAATGAGATTCATTTTCAATAATTTTTTAGGAAATTTTTTTACCTCTCGTTACCAACTCCATACCATATGGTATCTTCTTCGTTTTTAAGTCATTTTTGAAAAATTTTGCACATAATGAAAGAGTTCATCATGAACTATTGGATCTACAAATTTCTGGGTGAACAAAATACATGACCAAAAAATATCACACAATACCACCCTGGTATGGGGTGGTATATTGCGGTACACAATGTTGAAAATCGTAAATGACAGTTAGTATACTCCTACTATCATGTATTCAATCATCCTACAGTCTTGGTATGTTCATACAACCATGCTAGGCTTTTTCATACCATATGGTATGCTCGTATTTAATACCAGTCAATACCATATGGTATATACTGGTAAAAATAGCTAGATTTTTTTGTTCCAAAAATATATCAAAGTGAATATCATTTTGAAGAGCACAATTAATATGATCTAACTGTGCAAAAAAATTTAAATTCCGACTTAAACGAGTGTGAAATCATCCATTAAAGATTAAGGGAGAAAAAATAAAAGCTTTACAGGAGAGGGAAGGGGCGCTGATGTGGCGGATGGTGATTGGGTTATCTATAGTTACTCACCACAAGGTTATGCATGGGATCCGTTCCCGTGACATAAACAGTACACTGTAGACCATATATTGGTATTAATCCTAAAATAAAATACAACATTTCAAACAAAATGAAAATCTTCATATTTAAATATAACGTTTAGTGCCAACATTCAAAATTTTACATTTGAATCAAACAAATAACATAAATATCTAATTTTTCATACTTGAATCCAAAAATAACAACATTTAACTTTCAAATTCAAGAATATCATTTTTGTTAATTGAATTCACAAAAGGTCGTTATTTTGTTTAAACATCGAAATTCGATCATGCTCCGAAATAAGAGACCAGCATCCATAGACGAAATAGTAACCCTGCTCTAAAAAAATAAGAAAGAGAGTTCGATGTCTCACATAGGATGATCTCCACCGAATCACAACACAATTCGAGCAAAATAAAGAGGAAGCACATAATCCTTGTTGAAAGAGAGGATACCAAAGAGAAAATCTCCTTAGCTCACTCTGAAACCACACCAAATCAAAGATCTGTAAACAACATATTAGATATGGCAAAAGAAACCATCTACAAAAGAGGTTTGTGGAGGAGTTCACTTAGGGAAAAAGAAAAAAAGCCATCAGGGCCATAGGCACCTACGAAAAGTTGGATAGAAGGCAAATAGCAGTTGGAAAGAAAAACTTTGGGTTGGCGCCGATTATCAAAGGTAATTTAAACTCATAAAGAAAGCCCTTCGCGCAAATTGCTTTGAATGGGTAAATCAATCATTTGGCCTTGTGGATTTCTTAAAAAAAAGTGTGTAATTTTTTCGAAAATTCTCAATATAGTCATGATTTCATTATGCTACTATCTCAACCGAACTCTCTAACACTTGGTCAATTCCAAATATTTCATACATAGTATTGAACTTCTTTTTCCTTCTCGAGAAAAGATGAAAATTTGGGGTTAATTGCATGGTTGGTCACCGAGATTACTAAAAATGTTCATGTTTGGTCAGTGGAAATATTCAATTCCGTTAGTGGTCATTAAATTTAGTGAAAACGTTCATGTTTGGTCACTTTCCGTCATTCGCCGTCTATCTCCGTTAATGTGGTATGTTATGTGGCAGACAGAATTGTCTAATCAGCCTTATTTAACTCGAAAATACTCAGACCTGACCCGCCACGTCAGTACGTCACCCATACCCACCGTGTCATCCTGACCAGCCAAACCCTTTAACCACACCCGACCCATAAACCGACCCACTCAAATTAAATCCGTAAAATCTAAAATAGATCCACTTATCCTCTCCGATCCACATATCTACTTATCCCCTCCATTTCCACAATGCCTTCTCAGATGTCGCGAAACCCTAACGTCGCGTCACCAATCGATTCGAGGAGCGGATTCTGTCCATAAACCAAGATCTATCACAACCTCTGATCTCCGACGCCACTTCCACCAGCAACCGCACCGCTCTCCATCACTGATTACGTATTCTCTCTCATCAATTCCTTCCCTCCGCCACCGAAAGCCTCAGCTTCCGTCGACGGCGACAATGGCTGCCGCATCTCCTCCTCCGAACTCAGATAGAAACAGACCCATGAAAGATAGTTAGTTGTCAAAGATTATCTAGAATTACTGGAACTCATCATCAACATCATTACAGAGTTAAGATCATCCAAACACGTCTGCAAGGAAGGGAGTAAAAATAGAACCCACGAGGGTTTATTAAAAGATTAAATTGCTTCCTTCCATTACACTCCTCGTCGCATCGTCGTGCCCAGTAGAGGTGGTAGACAGTTTAGTGTCGAATGGACTTGATAGTTGCTCCGTCGCATCTCTACATACCGCAGGCTCGGAGCGCGAAATCCTCCACCAGGTCCAACTCTCCAAACCTAGAATCGGGTTCGTGACATCCGCCGTCACGAAGAAAATTCCTCCCACCGTCAAAACCGTCCTCCTCGACTCGCTCAGGGTGGAAACAAGATCTGGAGAAGTCGAACCAAGGGGATAAGTGGATTTGTGGATCGAAGAAGGGGATAAAATTTTAGGGATTTAATTTGAGTGGGTCGATTCATGGATCGGGTCTGGTTAAAGGATTAGGCTAGTCATGCTGACATGGTGGGTATGGGTGATGTGGTGGGTCGAGTCTGAGTATTTTCGAGTTAAATAGGGGTGATTAGACAATTTTGTCCGCCACATCAGCACATAACGGAGTTCATTAACGGAGATGGACGGCGACTAACGGAGAGTGACCAAACATGAACATTTTCACCAAAATTAATGACCACTAACGGAATTAAATATTTCCACTGACCAAACATGAACGCTTTAGTAATCTCGGTGACCAACCATGCAATTAACCCTGAAAATTTGCATATGAGTAAATGATAGCCTTAGCCACGAGACCACAAGCCAATATTCATCAATTAAAAATTGAATGTCTAACCTAGAATTATGCATTGTTTAAATTAAAGACAAAATTATTGATTGAATGTCTACAACTTCATTGAGAAATAAACAGCTACTTAATTACAATTCATAATCCTATATCGAGAGACCACAAAGAAGTTCTTAAAATGAATTGTGTAAACATAAATTACTTAAAATAGCTTAAGCACGACTACGAATTACTTGATAGGTAAGATAAAATGCGACACTCACCCAACCAACAGGTCAAGGACAAAGCTAGTTTACTGGGCCAGATTTTTCCCTGCTGTAATTGTCTCATAGTTGAACCAGTCCAAAGACATAAAAAGCAGCATCACATTTTGGTTGATGCAAACCAACAAGACATTTCATAAGAAAATCTGAATCCAGAACACCCTTGGACAGAAACTGTATTTCTTAACCTTCACTATCACTTGCCATGCAGGCATGCATGCTGTCCCACGGAATTACAAAACCATAAGTGATGAAGGCAAGGGAAGCAAAAGGAGAAGAGCAATCTACTGGCTGATATCTACAATAGGGAGGCATACAAACGATTCCATACAGGTGAAATAAACCCAGGCATAAAAAGAGGGGGGGCGAGTGTAATATCAATGATGATGCAGCTTGATTACCCGCGATACCCTCGCGAAGAAAATCGGACACATGCTAATACTAAATGTTATCATTGACCTCATCCACTCTGGTGCAACCCTCTCAAAAGTGCCTAATGTTGATGCTCGATATAGAAGCTCCAGTTCTCGTCCAGTTGAATTCTTTACCCATGTTAGACTGAATGAGTAACCTGTTAAGAACCACAGCATTAGGCAACAATTGGATCCACAATCTGAAGACCAACTGATTTGCAGACAAACAAATACACCAGAAAACACATCCATTAACTTCATCCTCTACACTTCATGACCAAGCAATTCTGGAAAGATGAAGTGTCGATTTCACCTTGAAGAGGATAGAACCACCTCATCCCATCCAAACAGCATTAGGATTTAGTAGACATACAAAAAATAATGGACCACTTTGGATGACCCAGTTTGACAGTTGCAACATTAGGTCATAAAAAATGAAATTGCATCATTCTATACCCCGCCAATGACCATTTCCTTTTTCCTTTCTACTTATAAATGTGGGATGAATAGGAACAAAGAAAGCATTACCACTTGTTTGATGTAAAGCTGAAATGCATACTCCTTCAGTTTGATGGACGGCAGATAGTTTCATGCCAATCAAGTATTCCATAAGAGCTTGAAATCGGCAGTTAGTAGGATCCCCATCATTGCACGCACCAGTGCCTAAATAAGTGCAAATAGCATGAACAAACTTTGTCTGTCAAGATAACGAAAGATAAATAATCTCCCAATTGTACCTGATTTATCCAAAGATGTTATACAGCATGTTGGCTGAAATAGCATAGAAGATTAGTCAGAGATATGAGAAACATTAGATTTAGATCTAAAAGTACAATTTTGAAACATACCAACTGAACACTGGAAAGTCCACTTGCAACCTTGGATGAATTGCTTGCTGATTTTTCTTTTCTTCGCCTCTTAGAAGATTGACCATCAGAACCATGCATAGCTATACCTGCTTCCATATGCTTCTTGGCTTCTCGGCTGCGCTTTCGGGTCATTATTCTCATTGAGCCATTAGAGACCTCATGTGTCGTGATTTGATCACTATTGTTCAGGCCATCAGACTCAAGCAGCTGGTTGCTTGGACCAGGAGTAGGAGTACACTGATCCATCGCATCGCTTATCCCTGAATTAGATTTTCCAGCATTTCTCCTCAGTGAATTATTAAGTTGTATGGTTACCTCATCTACTAAATTACTAGATTCATTGAGCTGTTTCTGAAGCCTCTCAACTTCATCAGAAAGCATTTTCCCTGCCACATAAGATGCCATCGATGAGTAAGTGGAGACAAGTTTTCCGACACGCCATTATCATCACTTTTAAGCAGGATTTTACAAGAAAAACATGCTAAGACTATTCTCAGATGAATGTACAGCATCGGAAGGTGGATCCTCCCAGAAAGAGGTCAAGTATGAATTGAATAGGCAATACAACTTAATTAAATCAAGTTGCTTTAGGATGTACAATTTATCTCTTATTCATTGACCCTAGTGGACAATGTAGATAAGACATTAGGAGAGTACGATGATATGTGTGTCACTAATCTTCTACCATACTAGTAGATGAAAGAAAAGATTATTGCAAGGGCAGTTTAGAGGGGAGGGAGGAAACAACTTTTAGCTCAGACAAACTAAGCAAGTTCTTTCTGAAATAACAGCTGATACACTCCATATTCAGACCCCAATCCTCCATTATAATGGGATGAATATTTACTAAGCTCTCTCTGTCTCTCATGAAAATGGTGAATAACAAAACAAGTCAAAGTAGCTTACTCTTTTCACTCTCTTCGAGAAGCAATTTCTGGTGCACCGCACGTTCCTCATCCTGCTTGGACCTACAAACTCAGGCCTATATTATTAGATATCCTCTAAAAAGCCATACAGATGGAAACACTGGTCTAACGACAACTAAACTGGTAATGCATACCTGATTGAGGTAACTTCAAATTTCAACTCTCTAACTTCAGCACGCAACTGGCAGTTATCATCTTTCAAGTGTTGTATGAGATCCTCCGCAGCTGCAGTGATAGAAGGAATCTTTTCACTCTTAACACAACAACTACGAAGCTAGTTACTTGCAGCCTAAAAGTCAAAGAAGTGCCTATGCTCGGTTCCGAGCCTTTAAGAAATCAAATTGGCGCCTAAACAACCAAACCCTAGCTAACCCAAAGTTCTGTAATTGGCAAATTCAAACGCCAGGTGACTGCAGCCTGCGTTTGGGAAGAGCAACGTCTATACTCTATAGCTATGGTGTACAGATGAAAAGCAAGAATTTCTAATGGAAACGACCAAAGAGCATACCGGAAACAAAATTCAAGAACTTCACTTCCTGGTCTTGGTTGATTTCATCCAAAGGGGATGCTTTTTCCTTCTGTTGCATCATCCAAGAAGAGGCATTGAGTAGTCAGCTAAAGCTTGAAACAGCAGGCACATATGATGGAAGAAAGAAAGTAGAACCTCAAAATTCAAAATGCCAAATGAAATGAGTCTCTAACCTTTAACGAGACGAACTTATCATAAAGCTTCTTATACAGAGCCTCCATCAGTTTTGCTAAATTCGTTTCCAAGTCAAACAACGCAGCAATTTCAATTTCTACCAGCGACAGATGTGGCCAGATTGGGAAGGAGGCGATCACGCTGATTTTCAGTAGCGAGAGGTGAGAGAAAGAGACGAGGAACTCAGAAGGCGCCCTCACTTATCCTCTGGCTCCTCCAGGAGAAAGACAGGAGCTAAAAGTTACAGGTGAGAAGAGGGATCCGAAACCCTAGAAATACAGGTACCGGAGACCGGCATGGAGGTAGAACCTGTGTTTGTGTACAGTCGGCGGGAGGAGAAGGGCGGGGATTGAAAACTGAAAAATTCAAACGGCTGAAGAAATTGGATTACTCGGTGGCCGGTGCTCTCACGACTCACGCTACAACTACGAGAGCTGATCTGGTGACTAAGGGGTGCTTAGTCACTTGATTAAGCCTCTCCCAGTCCTTAGATCTGAACAAATTATCTGATGGTTAAAAAGTGGGAAGGGGTATTTAATTAATGACAGAGGTAGTTTGGGTAATATGGAAAATTACGAAGTATAGAAACCGGACTTAGAATCAGTACAAACCATACAAACATACGAACAGTACAAACTAGAGCGACAAAACATACAAACAAATTTACAAACATTACAAACGTATCAACTGTACAAACAATACAAACTAGACCGACAAACAATACAAACCATACAAAAAGAAAAACACTCGGGTTGACTTTGGAGGCTCCATCCCTATATAGAGGGGCTCCTTCCCAAAGTCAACCCGAGTGTTTTTTAGACATACAAACAGTACGAACATGGTGGACAAAAATGACAAACTATACCGACAATCCATACGAACTGAAAAAACACCTGGGTTGACTTTGGAGACTCCATCCCTATATAGAGGGGCTCCTTCCCAAAGTCAACCCGGGTTTTTTTAGACATACAAACAGTACGAACATGGTGGACAAAAATGACAAACTATACCGACAATCCATACGAACTGAAAAAACACCCGGGTTGACTTTGGAGGCTCCATCCCTATATAGAGGGGCTCCTTTCCAAAGTCAACTCGGGTGTTTTTTAGACATAAAAAACATTACAAACATGGTTGACAAAAATGATAAACACGATACACAAAAATAACAAAGTTTACAAACATTACAAAAAAAACCGACAAACATTACAAAATAACAAAGCGTACAAACATTACAAAAAAACCGACAAACATTACAAAATAACAAAGCGTACAAACATTACAAAATAAACCGACAAACAATACAAAGCATACTAACAGTACAAACTCTCTCTCTCGGACAATGCCCAAAATAAATGTGCAGCAACATTCATTCTCTCTCTGGGACAATGCCAAAAATAAATGCAACATTAATAATGGACAGAGGAGACTATAAATGGACAGAGACGCCACCGTCAGAGTTGCCGCCTAGAGGAGTCGCCGGGAAATTTTTCCGGCCGGGGCAACCGTTGAAGTCGGAACAACGGCGAAATTTATTTTACTTTGTTTATTATATAAATTAAACAATCATGCAATTACTATATTGTCCTTTATTAAATTGGATTAATATGGGCCATTGGATTTTAATGAGGTGCAAGGGTGGAGATTGACTTAGTCATCTGACTAAGAGACCCCCTTAGTCACCTGATCTTAGCCCCTACAACTACAACACTACTCACTATAGTTGACAGCCCGTCACTCTATAGAGTCTAGTCAGATTTCCCAGCCAGGCTGCCAAACTATTGCTACTTGAGAAATTGAAAATGTTATGGAATTTTAAGAGCATCTCCAATTTCGGGGAAAATTTTCAAAATACATTTGTTTTTAAAAATAATTCTCAAAATACACACTTTATGAAAAAAAAATCCCAATCTATGTATGTTTGAGTATTCACCGCGGCAGAGAAAGGCGGTGATTGCATCACCACAGGAGAGGAGGGCGGTGATTGGGCACTGATTGCATCACCATTATAGAGGAAGGCGGTGATTGTATCACCGCTGTATAGAAAGGTGGTGAATGCTTCACCGCGTTACAGGGGCGCGGTAAAGGCCTGACATGCGTCGAAACTTTAGACGAACGTAACTTTAAACGAACTCTAAACTTTAAACTTTAGATAATTAGGACCTAGGGTTCACTCATTAAGGGTTAGGATATAGTATCATGCCCAAAAATTCTGCTAATTCGAGGTCTAAATAGCATTTTCATACTCAAGGTATGCGGTACAAATTCAAGTTTAGAAAGAAATCAAAGGTTTAAACAAAAGAAAAGAAAGAAATCGCTTTTCCTCCACTACCAAAAAGAAGAAAGAAGAAAAAGGACCAATGGAACCCACTTTTGGTTTGCATCCCATTTGCATGGTGTGCAAATTTGCACCAATGATGAAAGCATACTCCTAATTAGGGTGGAGATTGGTACGATATCAGTATCCTAATACCAAATACTGAAATTTTAAATACCGAATTACACCCTAAAATCAATCTCAATCTCAATCCCTAAATAATTTCAGTATCTCAATCCCTAAATATTTCGGTATCCCAATCGGTACTTCGGTATCTCAATCGGTATTATCGTATACGAAAATAATTACCTTTATAATTAATAATTAAATATATAAATTATATTTGATTATTTAATGTAGAACAAAGAGACTAAACAAAGAGTCTTGAGTTTGGCTAGAGTTAGGATATGGATAAGGAGAATGGAGGAGAGGTGACATCTCAAGTTTTTATCATTTGTAAACTTTAATTTGACGAATTAGAGGCTGAGACATGACTAATACTAATGTTTGCTTTTTGGTGTTATGAAAATAACAATAGATTGGTAGCTGAGGGTAATATAGTAGTGAATATGAGAGTCTAGTTGAGAGGATAAAACACACACTAGCATATATTTCGGTATTGTTCGGTATTTCGGTATATACCGATCTCAATCTCGTAATCCCTAATACCGAATAACAATTGAAATTGAATCCAAATCCCAAGAAATAATACGTGTATTCGGTAATACCAAATATAGACAAATTTTGTACGATATTCGGTATATCCCAAATACCGATACCAAACTTCCAAGTTCTTGTCATTGGTAATCTTTAATTTGATGAATTGAAGGATGAGAGTCGACTAATACTAGTGTTTTCTTTTTTGTGTTATGAAAATAACAAGTTATTAGGTGGGAGATGAGAGTTACTTAAATTGGATTAAAGGATAAAAAATGTCACAAATCAAGATATAGAATCTCTCTGATTATTGATAATTTATTAGAGATTTAAAAACTCAAAAGGTAAAATCCATGATATGAACAACAATAAATAAATAAATAACATAACTTTCTAATGAATCAATAGATTTGGAGAGGACAAGACATTGTAGGGAATGGAGAAAGATGTAAGATTCAAAATTAGCTCTGCTTATCGTCTTGTGGAGGGAGAGCTGGAGAAGGAACCAATTCAAATATGGGACGTCTTGTGGAAATGGAGTGGTCCAAGCAGAGTGAAACTTTTCCTTTGCCTGGCCACGCATAATAAGCTCCTCACTAATGCGGAAAGGAATCTAGAAAGCTTTTAGTGGAAAGGTGAAAGATAAGAGAAACAACATCGACTTCACTACATGGATTAACAGTAACATTAAAGCTGATGACACAGGGGTTGATTTCGGCCTTATTTGTTGCTGATTTGGAAACAAAGAAATGAGGAGGTTATGGATGGTAAGAACTACTCGGAGAATAAGTTGATTTGCATGATCAAGGCGTGGTTCAAAATTGCTGAATAAGCTTAGTAGAATTAAAATTTGTGCTCTCCCCCATCGAACACTCACCGGACAAAACTTCCAGTGGGTTGGAAACCACCAAGAGAAAGCTTGGTTCAAGTTCAGACAAGATGGCTCGATGTTGGGTGATTCACTTGCTGCTGCAACAGGTGGATTGATAAGAGACAGAGATGGAGAATGTTTGGATGCCTTCTCGTGCAACCTGGGTGTCTGCTCTACCACCCGTGCAGAGCTCAAGGGTGCGGTTGTTGGGCTCGAAAGAGCTTGGCAGCTCGAATTCAGAGTTGTGGAGTTAAATCTTAACTCTCAAACAAACATTAACATCATCAAGAATTGGCAGGATGATGATCACCAGCACGGTTTGCTTGCCAGCAAGATCGAACACCTGCTTACTCGTGACTGACACGTGGTAGTGAAGCATGTGTTGTAGGTAGTGTAACTACTCTGCTGATTTTTTTGGCTTCTAAGGGTCACTATCTTCCTTTTGGCACATATTATTTTGATGTGTGCGACACTCACCTTTACCACTGGCTATTGTATGACGTTATGGTAATACCATGACCTGTTCTATTAATATGATGATTTAGGAAAGCTTTCGTCCTGTTCTCTAAAAAAAAAAAAAAATAAGATTAGCTAAATTCATTATCAAAATCCCTTTCTCCAAACGACCTCTAAACCTATGACTCATCTTTCTCATTTTGTTATAAATGATCGTTGAAAATTAGGAAGGCAATTCTACTCCCAAATATGAAATATCTTAACTAATTTGATTAAATTAACGAGAAAAATTCTCGCATTAACTTGGTGCATACACCCATAAAAAAGTGATAGAGATGGATTTAGGTGTCTCCCTCATCTTGATACCATACAAGCCTCACATTCAATCACCATGCTACATACACCCATTGACATGTTAGTTTATCCTCTCTTTCCTTTTCTTCCACCAAAATTTCAAAAAAACACAACTGTAAATTGTTTGATTTTACATTTTCAATTCCTTCAACACAAATACGTCACCTCATAACCCTAATTTCCACAAACAATTTATATTTTTGATATGTTTCTCATGTATTTTGTAATTAGTTTCTGATTCATGATGTACGTTCAATGATCAAGCTTTTACAATCACATGTGATTTCAACTTGATTATATTATGTTTCAATGAAATTTTGATATGATATTGAGGGTGAGGGTTATCGCGGGTATCAAAAACGGTGGGGGTGGGGGGATGAGATGAAAAGGCTACACCCGCACAAGAATGGAGAGGAAATTGATATAAAAATTGCAAATAGGGACTTATGTTGGGAAATGTAATTAACTTAAACGAATGCCTAGGGTAGTATTTCATATGACATCTGACAATTTCTCCACTTAAAACTAACTACTAGTGTTTGGAGTAACCACGCGTGGTTGAGATGCTCTTGGTATGTATCCATTAAACTAAAAAGAGATAAAAAGGGGTTAGAAGTACAAGCAAAAAGGAAAATGCAGAAAGTAAAGAAAGTAGTATTAATAGTAAGTAGGTGATCGACAACTCAGTGAGAATTGCGACATCCCAAATGCTGAGTGTCGATGGTGGCCTCTCCGATGCTCGGCAACTCAGTGAGAATTGCGACATCCCAAATGCTGAGTGTCGATGGTGGCCTCTCCGATGCTCGGCAACTCAGTGAGGATGGTGACATCCCGCAGTGTGATTGTCATTTCCCGCTCGAGAAAGGGGAAGTTGTGTGTCTCAGGACGCCACCTCTCTGACATGATCGTGAGTAGCTCATTGTCAATCTCCATCTTCACGAAGTGTCTCACCCTTTCCAAACCTGCCATTTATAGATTGGGCGCGATTCAGGTTTGAAACTGGGGCAAGCACCCGGTCCCTCTACGGATCACAGGAACAAGTGATTCCTAAGCAAAAATGCACAAAGTAAGTTTTATAGCAACAATTTAAAATAATAAAAAAAACATTACTTTGAAGGTAGGGCGTGCCTACCGGGTTGTTGTTCCAAATGACATGAGATCGATGATTTTCTTGATCGGTTAAATATCGAACTTCCCTCGGGCTAGGTTGAATATACAATATAGGATCGTAAATATCCGCCGCCATCTATCATTTCAATACAGGAAAATACCATTATTAGATTCTGTAAACAAATTGTGAAAATACAAAACAACGTTTAGTTATGGTTAGTTTACTAAGACATTGGTCTTATAGCGTTCTCCGATGATTCACGTTGATAAATCACAAAAAAATATAAATATATGGTGTACCCTAAGAGCCTATTCGTCCGTTTTTGGCAGAAGCCGGACAGAGGTTCGACCGAGTTCTTAGCAGGACTTTAGCGGGACAACGAGACTTTAGCTGGACAACATGACTTTTGCGGGACAAGGCTTTTTCGGAACTCAAGAAAACGGGATATAATGTGGAAGATCGGACTTGGCCGCAACCATAGAGCATACCTGTATTTCTTGAGTGGTATGAGAGAGGAGGGAGGGGGAGGAAGAATGTGTAGTGGTGTGAATGAAATGAGGACGATGTCGGTATTTATAGATATAGGCTAGGGAAAACCTAAATTGCTTATGTCCGACGCGATCAAGGTGCAACGAGAAGAGAGATAGCGCGTTGACCGTGGCCGTCGAAAGCGATCAACAATTGATCCCGCGACAACTTAGCGATCCGTGTCAACTCCATACCAAACTTCCTTTCATGTTAGTGATCTGTGTTTCTTTTAACACCATATCGCGTGCTCGAACGTGATGAACGATGATCGCTTCCTCCAACCACGATCCAATGGCTCATCGTTCTCCACCTGTGCAATCCGTCGTGATCGCGTTCCCTGAAAGAAATCTTACCTAAATCACTTCTATTAAACATGATTTATATTCTGATTGCTTTAGTTGACATCGATCTAGTAAACATGTACATTTCATAATTTTTTGTAAAAATTAGGCAAAATACACTTGTGTAGCCAAAACTTTGACGGTTTGGCCAAATATAGCCACGTTTGGAAAAATACCAAAAATAGCCACTTCCGTCCAATTATTTGACGCTGTTAATTAACGTGCTAACTGGACTAACGATTTTGCTGACTTGGCTACATTTTGATAACATCATTGTCACTTGGATTTTATTGGGGGAAAAAATGATACAAATGAATTAACATGTCCTCCCATCTTCCCCCCTCTCTCTCCATGAACAAACGAATATCTCTAGAAAACATTGTCTCTCTCTCCCTTCGATATTCCCCTACTTTTTCTCCGATCTTCCCCTCACACCCACCATTGTCAATCTTCGATCTTACACCTCTCTCTTCCTTCTGATCTTCCCCCAAACTTGCAACGCCGCGACGATTAGCATCCACAAACAACGATTACCGAATTTGTAAACCCCCAAATCCAGATATGGGCGGCGGCACAAAAATAGTAGCAACTGCGAGCTGGGCGACGGGGGTTACATGGGCTTGGTGACGAGTATGTCAGAAGCGGTACGAAGGGGATTGTTGGGTGTGGGGTTTTTAAAAATAGGGGGAGGGAGCAGCAGAGGAGGAAGGGGGAAAATCGGTGGTGGGCGACGATTGCGGAGAGATCGGGCGGCAGAGATGAAATGGCTATCCCTAATATGGCAGGCACTGAATGGGACCAAGTCGGATGAAGAGCTCTCTCAGCACTATGTCGCCGCCGTCGAGCACAAGTGCCGAAATTTGCCTCGCCCGAGGGTCGGTCAAATGATGAAACAGAGGCTGAGCTTGTCAGACTTGATCTCCATAAAGGACGAACTTGGAAGAGAGGATTTTCAACGATTTAAGGCCCCAAATTCGAACATGGGATCTGAAGCCCCGTCTAGTCCGAGATCGAATCTAAGTGGCGCTAGCGACGATGGGGATAAGAATCCGGCGAAGCCACGGTACCGTCTAATGGTTAGCAAGCAGATGGTGGGGGGTCTTTCTTTTTGTGTGGGTTAGAGCTGATCTGAATGAACACATAAGCAATTTGAAGGTCTCATGCGTCGGTCATGGCATTTTGGGATTCCTCTGTCCCTCGCGAGAGGAACAAGATGGAAGGGGATTGTGTTTTTGTTTTTTCATTTTCATTTTGATTAATATTTTTTTTTTTACTTTTGTAAATGACGTGGCATCCACTTGTCACGTAAGTGTTCTGTTAATTTGACTATTGGCACTTATGTAACGAAAATGACTATATTTGTCATTAAACTTTCAAAATTTTGGCTATTATTGGTATTTCTCCAAAAGTGGCTATTGTTGTCACAAACATCAAAGTTTTGACTACAAAGATGAATTTTGCCTAAAATTTATTATATTTTGAGAATTTTTTTAGGGTTAATACCCTAGTTTGGCCCGAAGTTTAGTGTAAGTGACAGTTTTAGCCTCACTTTTCAAATAAGACGTTTATGACCCATGTTTAAAATTATTAGACAGATTTGGCCCCAAATTATGTTGACTGTTAAAACTAACGGTCAAACATTTATTCCGTAAGTTACTCAGCATTCAGTTCTGAGGTGGCACCGACATGACTGCCACATCATTTACCCTTAATTTATTTATGTTAAAGTTAAAATAAAAACATTAAAATAAAAAGCAAGTAAATTAATTGGGCCCAATTAATCCCCCACCCAATTCCCATCCCTACAAGCGGCCACACCCATCCCTACGACCAGCTCCGCTTTCCACCCGTTGCCCGCCGTTTCCTTGTGAACGATGTTGACCAGCGCTGAGTTCACTTAATTCGACGCCGACAGGCACAAAAAGAAGAACGATCCGGCCAAGGTTCTCATGTTCTCCGGCATCTTGGTGGTGAAGAACGCCACCGCGGCGGCAGCGAACGCCTCTGTGATCCCCAGCAGCAAGAATTGCGACATCAAGATCGTGAAGCTCTAGAGGGAAACAAATTCCCTAATTCCCACCGCCGAATCCCTCCTCTTCCTCTTCACATTCGCCGCCACCACCATCGCTGCGATCGACATCACGATCCCGACCTGGATCCGCTTTGCGATAATTAGTCTAAGGGGCTCTCCTGTTACTCGCTTTGCTAGATGCATCAACATCTTCTCGTAGGTCAGGATCCATGAATTTTGCATGGCTTGGAGTCGGGATTTGTTTTTCTCGGAAAGGCAGGGAATCGACGAGGGCTGGGGCAGTGGTGAGGCAATTGATGACGACAGAGAGGGTGGATCTGGAAGAAGGGGAATTTGGGGTTTTGGGTTTTTTGGGCTTTCAGCAGAGAGGGATTCGCTCGCGGAGGAGACCAAACGGAGAGGGCATACCAAGCGGCGACCGAAGAGAGATATCGAGGCAGCTGCCGGAAGGGAGAAGAGGGATTTCTTTAATTTGTTAATATTTAATTTAATATTATTTGAACTACAAATTAAAATAATATTATTTAATGATGTGGCATGCCACATCAGCTGGTTTTTGCTAAGTCAATAACGGAATAGTGTTTGACTGTTAATATTAACAGTCAACACAAATTCGAGGTCAAATCTATCCAATAATTTCAAAAGTAGGCTATAACTGTCTTTATTTGGAAAATTGAGACAAAACTGTCACTTACACTATGGGCCGTTTACTTGTCATTCCATTTCTATTAGCTGCCACAACAGAAAACAAAATTAAAATGAAAACGAAGCTGTCATTTCCTGGAAAACAAAACCTGAAAAAATCTTGTTTAGCTGAGAATTTTGGTAAGTTCTGAAACTGAGTTCTGAAATGAAAACCTGTTTAGTTGCTGATAAATGGTTTTCTCCAAGAAAAATAAAACACCAAGTGAACATGTTTCTTTGTATTTGTTTCTTAATTTTTGTTGCCCCAACGAAAAACAGGAAACGAAATGGCAAGTGAACGGGGCATAAACTTCATGCCAAAATAGAATATTAACTTTTTTTCAAGAAGATATGTATTTGGGAAAAAAATCCTCATAACCATGCAATGGATACACCATCTGACCTGACAATCCGAAGCCCGATTCAATCGCAAGCGAAAAATCCACACGCAAACTTCGGGATGGGATTAGGTGCTAACCCTTATAGGGGTTAGCACCGTGATAACTAGCAAAAAACGCTACTAAAAATTACGAAATCACTACGGATTATTATAAAATCAATACAACATCTAAGCTAAGAGCACTTCTACTATGCTATATAGTATTGGTGCTTTAATGTACAACTCAAAGTTGTACCATAACTTAAATGTATAAGTTTAAGTTGTACCATAAAGCAATTTGTACCATTATGTTATGGTACAACTTTACAACTTGAAGTTGTACCATCACATAAAGGTACAAGTTCAAGTTGTACCGTAAAAGAATTTGCACAAAAAGTATAGGTACAATCTGAAGTTGTACCATAATGTAAATGTACAATTTTAAGTTGTACCATAAAGGCAAAAACCTATAGCACCAATACTATATACCATTGTAAAATTTCTCCTAAGCTAAATCACTACTAATTCAAACTAATAGTAGTTTTTTCCCTTATTAAGACGGTGCTAACTATTGTACAATTAGCACCGTAACCGCTCCCGCAAACTTCACTCCGTAAGTCCAAACGACCTCCAAATCTCAAGCTCCTCTCCGTTTCCTTTTTCTCCCAGCAGGCAGGAAGGGATTCGAGATCCCGATCAGCCGTAATCCTCCATCGCCGGCGTCGACCGACCGAGTGAGCGACTCAGCCCCTCGCAGCGATGGATCCGGCGGGCACGCCACTCGGTAAAATGCTCTTGGAGGAGATCACTCCGGTGGTCATGGTGCTCCGCACGCCTTCCGTCGAAGAAGCCTGCGTTAAGAACGGCCTTTCCTTCGTCGAAATGCTGAGCCCCTTCTGCAACTTCAGCAATATCGATGGTTAGTTAGCTTCTGCCACTTCTGTCGATTTGGAGAAGAAAAGCTTCAGCTAGTAGGCAGCAGGAATGGGGTAATCATTGGCATTTTTGTGCGTTTAGTTTATTTGACTGGTCCTTTTTCTCCCGGATGTAGTTCCATTGCGCACGTCGAGTGATCAGCCTTACAGGTTGCACAAGTTCAAGCTGAGGCTGTTTTATGAGTCGGATGTTCGTCAGCCAAATATTGAGGTAAAAATTCTGCGTTTGGTGTCTGAGCATAGCTGTAATTTGTGAATGCAATAAGATTTGGTTAGGAACTATTCGGGTATTCTCAGTTCTTGAGAATTTGCTAGCTTGAGAGAATTTGAATTGGTTCCTTTGGACAAACTCAGTATAGTAGATGTTAGTTTGAACAAAAAACGTAACCTGTAGTATTATCAGTTTGTATGATTAGATCCATTAGTGTCAGGTCGTATTCAATGAGAATTGAAAATATACGGGCTTCATTGGCAATCATAGGTCATATTCTGGTCAAAGGTCAAGTGTTGTCCATGAATTGTGTGGAAGTGAAAGGACAATTTTAGTTAAGTGTTCACCTTAAGAATTTTGCTTTGTCTAGGTAGCAAAGGAGCGATTGAAGCAGGTAATCACCAAGGCTGGGGAGAAAGAGAATTTGGAGTTGATATCTGACCCACCTCAAGTCAGTAATTTACTTGATAGTAAGTTACATTAAGCACACATAGCAAAGTTCCCTCGTTTTCCATGTAATTCTGTTGAAATAATTGTGTATAGCTGATAGACTTTTAGTTGATACGAGTTCCTTGCTGTTGTGCAGGCTCTAAATCTGAACTTTTACCCTCATGGTTTGAATACCTTAACAAGGAGCTCATACGTACAGCCTCCTTTTCAGAGCATGAAACCTTTGACCACCCTGTGGGATGTAAGCTCTTCAGAGTTGTTGTAGCTGCCTACTAATAATTATTTTGAATTCTTGTTGAGGGCTACAGTTTCCATGACTTTTTTTTTGCTGTGTTAACACCTCTTATATATTCGTTGGTATCGCATGCAGGTCTTTTAGTTGTGTCATCAAAGGATGAGCAGCCTATTAACAGATTTATTGACCACTTCAACACTAACAAGTTACCCTCGCTTCTAAATGATGGTGCAATGGATCCGAAGATCTTGAAGCATTATTTATTGGTGCATGACAATCATGATGGGTCTTCAGAAAAGTATGGTGATGTTTCCTGCCTTCCTATATTAAAATACTGTCTGGGTCCAAAAAGTTCAGCAATTGATCTCCTTCCTCAGTGTGTTAACATGTGGGTGAAAGAAAGTCACCTGAGATCTTAAGCCTAAGCCTGAGGGGTGGTAAGTTAACTAGTTAGATACTTCGTGCTGCTTTCAAGATGGAGAGGCCTAAGATTGTACAATATAGTCGATCAATTTTTAACAATAGTGGAATGGAGGGGCTAAGGTTATACTTGGCTTCCAGAAACAAAGTTGTTAGCCACATTTAGGCCCTGAGTAGATTGAGGTGAATACAAGAAAGACCCAGAATCATTCTTGATTCTATTTCCTGTTCATTACGGGCCAGAATATTAGTATGTTTTCTATTCGTTAATGCATGAAAACTGTTGGCCATATTGAGATCCAGAGGTTAACAAGATGGATGGAAGAACATATCATTCAGAATCGACATTATAGGATCTGAGAGTGTGATAACCAGTTTACTCGTATAAACTCGAGTATGACAATATGAGATAATGTGCAGTCTCGTATGTATATCTGACAGGCACATCTAACAAGGTGTTGGCTAAGTGGATAGTAAGGGAAGAGTAGAAAGAAGGCAGGAAACACTAACTTTGATGGCCTAAACATTTCCTTAAATTTCAAAGATCAATAGAAGCAAAACTTTTATATGGGGCGCGGTTGGGGCCATACTAATGATTATATACAGACCTACAGTTGGGAAACATTGCCCTTTGAGAAGTTCGTGAAATTCTGGACATTGGTAGATAGCAATAAAGCTACATATCCTAATGAAGAATCATAGTTAGCGTTGGATATGCTTGTGAGGGTATGCATTTTGGTATTAATGAATAGTTACTTTTGTGTATGCATTATGCTAGCAGTTTGAGGGGGACATTGATTTTGAAGCAGCAGTTGGACTTTTCAGTTTGGAGGGAATAGATATTTGGATTCAGTAGCCTTTATATAAAGCTAAACTGGATAAAATTCTTAGTTCCCTCGGCACCTGAATGAAGGTTTTATTCTTCTAAGACTCATACTTCAGCTGCGTGGCAAATGATGAAAACACTCTTACTGGTTAGTTAAGGGAACCTACTCAATTTTTGTTGAATCCTGATTGGCTAGAGTGTAGTTGGTCTAGCACTGAGTTGCTGGGAGAGGCCATGAGCACATCTCCTTGAGCTATCCATCTCAGTGAAGGAACCACGAGAAAAGTTCTGTAGAGAGAAATTTCTGCGGATTTGATGCATATATTCCCCCTATTTTATGTCTCTCCTCTGGTCAGTAGCAAATCAAGAAAATTCTGTTGAGAGAAATTTCAGCTGGATTTGATCCATATTCCCCCGCACCAATTTTATGTCTCTTCCTCTAATCTACAACAAATCTTTAGTTGTGTCAATCACTGTGGAATTGAAGAACCTCCCTCATTGGCTCATTCACATGGCACCCAAATCTGGGGCCTGATTTACATTACTTCTTTTTTGTCCAGGGCTTCAAAAATCCTGTCAGAAATGAAAAGTACATTTGGTACAAATGAGTGCCACTTACTTTGCATTAATTCTTCACAAGATGCAAAAATGGAACATCAAGATGATCCTTGGGCTTCTTATGTAAGTTACTTATATCTCCAATTATCTTGTGTTAGATAACTTATCGCGTTTTGTATCCTTAACCATATGTGATGAAAAATCAGCAAGATTAAGGGTATAGTCTCAATTTTTTTCTATGACAGAAATATGATGGTTCCCCTGTTCAGCGCCTCGGTTGTTGCCTCGATGTTGATGATATTAGTGCGGTAAAATGGCTTTCTTACATATCTCAACTATTGGTTTCTTCATACGATCAGCACATGATAATATTGAATGAAATCCGATTTGTTGAAATGACAGTTAAAAGATCTGATGCATGAATTTTCATCTAAACATGTGATCCCATATATGGAGCAAAAAGTTCGTATACTAAATCAACAGGTAAGCCATATCCAATTCTCAGTTTCTCATAAGTTTCCACTGAACGTTTTTTTGTCATAACAAGAAGGAAAATGTCTATCTTTGTTGTTCAGCCTTTTTCTTCGAACTAAAACAATATTCATGATCAGGTATCTGCTACAAGAAGGGGTTTTAGAAACCAAATCAAGAACTTGTGGTGGAGAAAAGGAAAAGATGACCCAAATGAAATGCCTAGTGGTTCCATGTATGTAAAGGTTTGTTTGTGGCTGGTTGGTATTTTTGCTTCTGACTTCAATGATTCCTCATTTAGACTCTATTTTCATTGTTCAAGGTATACCTTTAGCTCTATTGAGTCGCAGATTAGAGTTCTGGGGGACCATGCTTTCATGTTGCATGATTATGAACTTGCATTAGCCAACTATCGCCTTATATCAACAGATTATAAACTTGACAAGGCTTGGAAGCGCTATGCTGGAGTACAGGTAGGTGTATGACTTTAATTCTCAAGTTCACCATAAGCTGTTCTCTTTCAACGTTTCTAATTTTTTTTATCATTCAATCAGCCTTGTATAAGGTTAAATGGAAGACAACATGTGGGTGGTTATAGACTATTTTTTTGGTTCGTGTATACATACATTCCTAGTGTCCGTTGCTTAGTTGTGGTGGTTATTGACTTTTTCTTTTGGTGTCCTTTTGTATTCATACATTTGTAAGTGTCTGCTGCTTAGTTGTGCTTGATCTCTTGTCATTTCTTTTAGGGATTGAATGTCTTGTTAGTAGGCTTTTCAACTTATCCTATTGAAAGGGACAAAAGGCTTTTCATACTTAACAAAGCTGGTGAAAATAGTCACGTCCCTTAGCTTCATTAGCATGAAGTCATATTTGTAATGGATGTCGTTCCTTTATGCTTTCTCGGTGTCTAATTCACTTGATATAACTGACTGCATTTCTTGCTCTTCGAGCATCTAAGTCATTGCTACGAAGTTTGGACATTCTAGTTCTTGAAATTTGTTTCCGTGTTACCCAAGTGGTGCCTGCAGATTATTTAGATGTATACCATATTAAGATTAGGCATTTGAACACTGTAAGACACATTGGTCATTTTGCATCCTTCCATAGTATTGGAGATAAGTTTAAGGGTTGCAGCTATCTAAATAATTCTTCAATGCTAAAATAGGCACCGGGAGTGCTATTTTATAGCAGATGTAATTGCTCATCGTTTGTGGTCTTCTTTCTGATTATTGTCTTCTTGAGCATTGTCAGATAATATTAAAATATTGTTTACTCGACCGAATTTGTTTAACTGTTGTATATTTTCATTTAATCTTGTAGGAAATGATGGCACTTGCATACTTCCTTCTAGATCAATCAAGGAAGGAGGCGGAGTATTGTATGGAAAATGCATTTAACACTTATCTGGTATGCCCTTCTATATCTACCTTTTTCTTTGAGCAATTTTCGTTTCTTGATTTTGTATTTGTTTTCTGTATTGGAGTTATCACGATGCTTTTTTTTTCTTCCTTTTGGTTTTAACTTTTATTCTAAGCTCAATGGATGGCTGGTTTATTTCTTGGTTTATACTGTATCTTTATTTTTCTTGTCCTCTCTTTGGCTGCAATAGCAGGACTAGAAAAATTACTAGCACATTTCCAGGATGTAGTGGTAGCGAAGCAATTAACTGACTTTATGGTTTAAGTATGATGCTAATAGATTCGTACAGCATCTAGAGTGGTATAACAAATATCAAAAGAGTACTTACTCATTTATATCAATTGGACCAAATCTTCTTCATTATTTTCTGCTTTCATTTAGGGAATAGACTGTCAATGGAAAATTGTAGAATGCTGTGTAAAAACTTATTCTTTCTCTTAGGTTTGCATGGACATGTTACCTAAGACATCCCTTTCGCAAGGGAGTAGTTTTACTCTCGCAGACTATGAGATACTGAAGCTTGTTTAACTACGTTAACCTGTTATGGATGCAGAAACTTGGGTCTTCAGGTCAGCAAAATGCAACACGTTGTGGTCTTTGGTGGATAGAAATGTTAAAGACAAGAGATCAGTATAAAGAGGCGGCCTCAGTTTATTTCCGCATCTGTAGTGAGGTTACCTTTTCTGATATTTGGCAATCCAAGAGAAATGAGTGTTAATTTGTAGTTTGTGTTCCTAAGTTCCTTTTGTTCCTTTATTCAGGAACTGCTACATTCAGCCGTTATGCTTGAGCAAGCATCATACTGCTACCTGTTCTCTAAGCCACCCATGCTGTACAAATATGGATTTCATCTTGTGCTTTCTGGTGATCGCTATAGGAAAACTGATCAGGTACCTTTTGACATTGTTTTCAAAATATGACTTTCTCCTGTCTATTATTCTCATGAAATATCATGTTTTCATCTTTTGTAGATTAAACATGCAATTCGCACATACAGAAGTGCTCTCTCTGTTTATAGGGAAACCACTTGGAGCTACATCAGAGATCATGTTCATTTCCATATCGGGCAGTAAGTTACATATAGTGTTTTACCTCATAGTTTCGCTGATTATAAGTTGTACATGACACCCGAGGTTTCTGATGGTGCTTATTGAACATAGGTGGTATGCTCTTCTTGGTTTCCATGATGTGGCTGTGAGACACATGTTGCAAGTCCTGGCATGTAGTCATCAGTCTAAAGCAACTCAGGAGCTATTCCTGCGGGACTTTCTCCAAATCTTTCAGGTGTCTGGTTTTTCTTTTCATGGCTTAGTTTCACTAGGACACATGTTGAGCTATATAAAACAGTTTGACCTTTCACTTTGCATCTGAATATTTAAGAAAATGAGATTTTTGTTGCTGATTTTGCTTCTCTGTCTAAACTTGACATCATGAAACTGATCTGTACAAAATTTGAGTGACTGCTGTGTCAGATAATCAATAAATTTATCACATTTACAACTCTTGAATGGCCATGTGTTTTTCGAGCGAACGAGTTTTCAAAGGGAGGCCTGAGTTTCCATGTCATGCTATTATAAGCCTTCTTACTTTAATCTGTTGATGACGATCTTGGAACATTTACCAGTTGGGAATCAACTCCTTGTTTCTCTCCAAATTTACAACTCTTCATGGTTATTGCCGTCTACTAGTTAATTCTAGCATGATCAAAGTTCTCTAGCTCGATGAAGAATACGGCCAAGTGGTTTTTATCTTGTTCACATACTTGTACTCTTAGTTTCTCTCTGTGTATGTTCTCTTTTTATTTTTTATTTTTGATAATGCTCTCTGTATATTCTCTTTCCTGTGAGTGGTTAGTCCACCGCCACTGGATTATCTTGCTCGCTCTCTTTCTTGTTCTACATTTAATATTAGTCTTTCTTTGAAAGTTTGCATAGGGTGTTAAATGTACCGTGACCATAGTTCCATATAGAACTACGTCCGAACTGGATGATCAATAAGATATGAAAATCAAAATGATTTCATTAGCATCTTATCCGACTCACTTTGGTCTTCTTGGTGTAACCGACAAGACCTTTGTCTATCTCAACCCAACTGATTGAGTTTCTGAAGCCTTTTCTCTATCTGACTTGCTTCATTCTTGGTTGCTGTAGGGAGCAGGGAAGACATTTGAGGTTCCAGGGCTTCAATTGCCTGTGATTGACATCTCATCGCTTAAGGTTGTTTTTGAGGACCAGCGGACCTATGCATCCTCTCTTGCGGTAAATTCGACGAGTCAGTTAGTTATAAATTAAAATTTTCAGAATAAGCTTTTGCATATGCATGACTTGTCGACCAAGTACTGTGACCCATTTGAATGCATCTACCAGTTGGGTGATATAGAGCCGAAGTGTTGGGTCTGGAATGTAAATCACATGGGTCATATACATCTACTTTCTGATTGAGTGGAAACTGAAAAGGAACTTGTGAAACTCACCTAATTCAAAATGGAACAAAATTTTAGAGTTGTTGCTGTGTAAGATGGTAAGAGTTGTTGAAATGGCTGGGCTTCAGAAAATGTCGATTCCAGTAATTAAGTGTGTCACATATTTTACAAACTGATTTTGGGACAACAAAGTAGTATTCTGTTGCTTTTACCATCCTGAAGCGCTATGTGTGTGATCAGGATTTTTATTTCATTTTATTTTAGAAGAGGTGGACAGGACAGGGATTAAATTACTTGCATTTTTTATTTCGTTAATAAAAAAGCAAGCAAGTTCAGGGGCAGGCTGACCGGGTCCCTTAAGAAGAAATTATAATAAATTAAAAAACTGATAAATTCAGAAAAGAACCATACAGATTCTCTCCCCTTACAAGCAGATGACAACCTTGAAAGGAACATGAGCTTTTGCTGGCATCTTCCAGCTTTTTCCAATATCCTCCCATAGATTCTTTTTCTTTATGAAATCTGTTTATGGAACCTGCATGTGCATGCCATTTTAGACATCAATTGAATGTAAACCAAATTTTGTTGTTTTTACGTCCAGGCTAGTGTCAGGGAAAGTTTGTGGCGTTCATTAGAGGAGGATTTGATTCCTTCATTGCCTGGTGCTAGGACTAACTGGCTGGATGTGCAGACAAAGCTTATGCCTAAGAGACTCAGAGAATCAAATGTCTGTGTGGCTGGAGGTATGAAGGTGATGGTATTCTGCAGAAGTTGTGTTTATTATCTTGTGATATATTTCACCTGTTAAACATTGGTGATTCTTACGCAAGTATGAAAGGTGCATATATCAATAGTAACTTCTCTAATTAATTTTGGAGGTTTCCTTCCTCTGGAACAGGAGCACATTTCAAAACTTCGGGTCATTTTCCTGAGCTAGTGGCAAGAAATTGTTGTTAGATGGATGTGTTCCTCCTATTGTTGGATTACATATTGTTTCTTTCTATTTGCAGAGGCAATAAAGGTGGTTGTTGAATTTAAGAACCCACTGCAGGTCCCTATCCCTATTTCTAATGTGTCTTTAATATGCGAGCTTTCAAGATCAGAGGAAGAGATATCTGGTTAGTTGGTGTCGTTGTTTCCAATTTCCTTTTCTTCATCCCTGCGTTGAAGTTGGCAGACTGTAAGTGTATTCAGATGCAATTTCTTTTCTTTTCCCTTTTTGTATTATAGACACGAATGCTTCGACCTCTGAACTTGCAAATGATGAAGACCATCAAAGGTTTGGCGTGATTTGAGTCTTTTTCTCAACTATCTAAATATAGTTTAGCTTACAAGCCATTGATTTCTGGTGGCTACTAAATTGCTGCTGCTGAATGGCTACAGGGTTGTGAGCTCTGACAGTGGATCAGTTATTTTGTCTGAATTTGATTTCTCACTAGGAGGTGGTGAGAAGAAGTTGGTGAGTCCTTTCTAAACCATCTGGCTCACATATGAAGCGAATTCCTCGACTGATTTTCTGGTCCCATCTCTGAACTTTGTCGAACTATTTAAAGTTACTCGTTAGCTTTTTTATTGGAAGGAAAGTTACTCATTAGCTATGAGCCTGTTTTCCACCATTTTGAATTTGTAATGTAAAACTTCTAAATATAATGTTAGCGTGCTATCTTGGTATTGCTACTCTGTACCGCTTCCTGTTTGATTCTCTTGCATTCCAATTCCACCATTAGGCTGATTGTCATGGTATTTTCACAAGTGGCTTGTCTGAGTCTCCAAGGCGACTAACGTTATGTTTCCCACTTGAAAAACTATATAGAGAGCGAGTTGGAGCCTGGGTATTTTGAAACAAAAAATGGAGTGCTTAAGTATGCTAGTGGCTGTATCCTTTATCTGTAACCCATTAAACACTGAGAGTGTACTGATGTTTTAAACCCCCTGCAGCAGTGTGATTCTTCATGCCATACTGATCTCTACCACAGACTATATGTCTCAGTCATCACCCTCCCCAGGCCAAAATCTCAGAAAAATTTGGCCCAATTAATTTTAGGTTGCTACTATTCCTCTGCTAGTTTTGGTAACATATACCTTCTGTCTATACTGGCTAAAATTGTTCATTGATGTCGTTATGTTGTGCTGCAGTGTTTGTCGTTGACGAGGAATGCCTTTCTACAATTAAAATGACAGTACTCTTTTCTTTAAATATTATGTTTATTGGGTTGATTTTTTCTTTCTGGCTTATTCAGGTGGAGTTGACAGTTACTCCTAAACTGGAAGGCACGCTAAAACTTGTTGGTGTCAGATGGAAATTTTCAGGTTGTGTTGGTTTTTACACTTTTGAGTCCATACTTTTGGTGAAGAAAATCGCAAGGGGAAAGAGAAAGGCGAAGGCGAAGCAATCACCTCTCAATGACCTTAAGTTTGTAGTTATCAAGGTGAAGCAATCCTCCAGAACCCAATGGTCAAGATAATCGAGATGAGAACATAAATGAACGGAAAATAGAGTTTAAAAGTTATATTGCTGCATTATTAAGATTGTCTATTTTGAACCAGTGACCTCTTTATGCGCAGCCAGTACCAAAGCTCGAGGGTCACATTCGTTCTTTTCCAGAAAAGGCATATGCTGGACATATACAGCCTCTTATTTTGGAGTTGAAGAACCAATCAAACTGCTCTATAAAGGTTGTTTTATTTTTCTACTTCATTATTGGTAACTGTGTTATTGTATTATCCTAGCTGGCTGGTGTACAACAGTTCTGCAACTTCTTGGTTTATTGGGTAAATCCATGTAGATTGCAACTGTATTATATAACTTACAAAACAAAAAGGCCCACTGAACGATATCATAGAAGCTTTTAATGATGCAAGATTAATACAGCACCAGGAGAAACCCACCCGCCCAACCCTCTTTAAAGTGTCTGACATGTATAGCTTATTATGGACAAAAGTGTATAGCTTAATGGCTTCAATGGAAAAATGTGTATTATGTAAAGCTTATTATGATAGGTGTTTCACTTCACCATCAGCAAGCCATGCTCTGTCGGCCGGTTAGATGCACTTGCAGTCATTTCAAGTGTCTAACGTGTCGTTCACCTTGACAGAATCTCAAGATGAAGATAAGTCATCCTAGATTCCTTAGTATTGGGAATAAAGAAGTTCCGCATGTTGACTTTCGTGCTTGCTTAGAGAAGCAGTCAGACAACAAACAAGGTGGCACACGTGCTAATCTAAAGAAGGCGTCTCAAGGTGTTTTCCTGTTTCCTGAGGTCAGTACCACTTCTTCCTTGTCTTCTAGCACATGATTATCAATCTGAATCAAGATAACGTTAGTGATGTGCATTACATCTTAATTGATGCTTCAGGATGTTGCAATAAAGGGGGACAAGCCATTATTATGGCCCCTTTGGCTTCGTGCTGCTGTTCCTGAAAATTTCCTGCTATACATAATTATATACTATGAGATGGAGGATGCATCTAGTGTGATGAAGTACCGCACTCTGCGGTTGCACTATAATTTGCAGGTAAGCTCATTGTAAGCAGGGTTACCCGCTATTTATATAATGTTGGTGCTTGCATGTATATGTGTCATCAGTGAATCTGTATGTAGAGAGAACATCTATGGTGTTTTAGTTCAACTAGAAGCATACATATCATGTGAAATTGTCTATGGAAAACAGACCTTGTGCATTTTACTCAAACGATTATATTATGGACCCTTAACACTCGATCATTAGTTCAGAAAATCATAATACAAATATGTCTTATGCTAACAACGTAGATATTCAATTGATTTTGATTGAAGGTAATATTTTCTATAATGAATAAATGATTGTAATGGAGTTGAATAAAAATCATGTATCACGAGGTATTTATGTTACAGATTCGGTGAATACTATAATTCCATATGAGTGCCATCTGCTAATTACCAGTGCATCTTGAATCTGATATGACTGTCATCTTGTCATAATTTTATATAACCTTTTTAATTCTTGGTGATTGTATCTTGGTGTACCAAAATAAGCTAGGTGCTGGTATCTCACATCTATCCCAAATTCGATGATTAATAAAGCCCTCAGCTTATGTCTTGACACATGCTAGTGTTCCAAATATAGGTGTTGCCATCATTGGATGTTTCATTTAAAATCAGTCCTTGCCCTTCAAGATTGCAAGAGTTCCTTGTGCGGATGGATGTTGTCAATAAAGCTAGTTCGCAGAGTTTCCAGGTCAGCCAGCTTTCTACCGTTGGAGACAACTGGGGAATTTCAAGGCTTCAACCAATAGACGGAATCATACCTTCACAATCTTTAACTGTTGGCCAGGCATTCTCATTTTTCTTTATGCTCAAGGTGGGTCTGCAAATCTACCACTTCAGATAATTCTGACCGTTTTAATGTTTTCCCTATGTTCTTCTAGTTCACCTAACATCCCTAGGTAGTTGGGCAACAGATTAACCGTAATTTGTTGGTTCCATCTGCTAATAAAGTAAATTTTGGTTTTGTGATTTTGTCAATTCATTTTTCATTCTCTTTCCTCATTAGAGGTTCCTCTCGTCTAAGTAGTGCGGGGAACCTCGAATGTCCTAGTTATAGACATTTTAAGTCGGATTCTCTATTTCATGGGCATTTCGCTTTCAGCTTGTTAGTTACCAATGTTATCTCTAAATCTTGGGTTCTGATTCCAGAGTCGTAGGCTGTCATCGGTGGATGCGGCAACTCATGTCCCAGATCTCTCTCCTGATGTTGACAATGATGTCATATTGTGCCCTGGGAGCGTGAAAGAGCCCCTTGTTAACGCAACCCACTCACCTCTTGCCAATTTCCATGATTCAGAAAGATTACAACATGGGATCCATAATCAGGTTGGTGTCTGTCTTTATCCCCACACACTTTGATATCCTGCCATGATTCTGTAACGGAGATCATTGAGATTTACTGGATTTGTTGTATCATCAATGGATGCATAGGACAAGTTTTTCAGTGTTTCTTTTGACAATTTTCCTTATTCTCGTGCCTTTCACTTCCATGTATCAGAAAGATGACAATACAGTGGACTTCGTCTTGATTTCTCGGCCGCTGAAATCTGATACAAATTCAGAAGAAGATTCTGATCAACCTCAACTCTTCTCCCATCACGCGTGTTACTGCAGGCAAGACCCCTTCGCTCTTTCTTAAATGCTGCATTTATCCGAGCAAATGTATAATTGCTTTGTAATAAGTTATGGTGTCATTTCCCTCGAATACTGGTTGCTGCATTTCTACAGAACTGCAAGCACAAGCCCGATATCTTGGACAATGATTGGACCTCGGACCAAATACCACAACTTCTCATCTTCGTTCTGTGAAATAAATCTGAAGATGACCATCCACAATTCGTCAGATGCCATTGCATCCATAAGCATCAGCACGGCCGATTCTGCAGGCCAGTCAGATGCACTACCTTCTCAAGGTGGATGGAAGCCTGTGGTTAAAGAAATTAAGGCTGCTTCGCCTAAAGCTGCTGGAATCATAGCAGGGAACTCGCCAGAGTCGTTGTCGTCATTGAAACCTGTCGCCTCTCCGGTCTCTTCGTTTATCTGGTCTGGCTCAAGTTCTAGTAACTTCCAGCTCGGCCCCAGGTCCTCCACTGATATTCCCATGCAGATCTGTGTCTTCTCCCCTGGCACATATGATCTGTCGAGCTATGTGTTGAATTGGAATCTGAGACAGGATGACGGCGGCTGCGATCAGTTGGAAGCAAAGGAAAGTAACCCTGAAGAGACGAGGAAACTATCGGGAACTTGCTCAGGGTATCCCTACTTCCTGACGGTTCTTCAATCTGTCTAGTGCGCAGGAAATTGGAACGAGTTGGTCCGCTTTTCCCCCTTCTTTTGGTTCTGGACTTCTGGTTAAATGGCGATATCATTTTTGTAGTTTTACTTTTACGTGTATAATATTTTTTTCGTTTCCCTTTTCAAGTTCCGGGTAACGAAAAGGGTAAATGCCCAAAAATAGTCAATTCTTTCAAAGTTTGGACAAAATGGAAGAAGTCCTCCATTGAATTGCAATTTGCATGGGCTGGGAAAAGAAAGGTTCGGAAATGGTCGGTTTAGCGGGAGGAAGGGTGGCCCCTTCACCATAGGGGTGGGATTCGGTCGGTAAACGGTAAATTGTTTATCGTATTTAACGGCTTTGGTAAATTGACGTTGGCCAAATTGGAATCGATTACAGATACCGGTTTGCAACCGGTTTACTGATTACCGAATTACCAGTAAACGGTTACAAACTGGTATTACCGAAATACCGTGAGAAGCAACGCCGGCAGGACGGCGAGGAGATGGCGGCCTGGCGGCGACGGGGAAGCCGGAATGTGGCGGAGCCACGGAGGAGATTGGAAACTGGGAAGGGCTGGCGACTGCGTCGCGTCGCGCGTCGGCGTGGGAAGGGAGAGACGAGAGTCGGGGATGGCTGGGAACAATGTAGTTAAAAGCTATAGTTTAAGCCTAAAAGCTTACGCTTTTAAGTTCTTACCTCCTCCAATATAGTAATTTTCTTTGAAAAATCTTTTGACACCATAAGCTTAATATAAACTCTTTAAAACCACAATATGTGCATAAAAAATCCTTAAAAGCTAGCTTTTAGGACGCTTATAAGAGCTTTTAATGATAATGTTTATGGAGCGATTTGGCACGTCGTGCGATGGTCAAATGGTTTTTTGTGCATGAAAAAACAAAAGTGATCATGCCGCTGGCTTCAAAATGATTCTTTTAACATGAATGATGATTGATGTATTTATGAGGAGCATGATGTTAGTGACAATAACAACTATGATGATGGCGGTAATTAAGATGATATGATTTGGATGGAAATGTGGACGTTGCTGCCCAAATGTAGCATAAATCATGATCAATTTTTTGGGGGGGCTTGTGATGTCCATAATATGAATATTTCAGAGTTATGATTCATATTAGCGTACGATTCAACTCTTTTTCTATGTTTATGAACTTGTTCTGAGTTAGAATGTACTCTAGTTCAAAATCTTTTCCAATTTTCTGTGTGTGTATCCTATTAGTCTTTTAAGTTGCTTTTTTACAATTTCAATGGTTCATATAAACTTACGTTCTTACGCTCCGCTTTTACGCTTAAGTTTGTACCATCATTTCGCTTATACATAAAAACTATTGTTTAACTACATTGGCTGGGAAAGCGCGCTCGTCGTCGCCGCCAGCAGAAGGAGAGGAAGACGAGAAGAGGAGAGCTGGAGAGGTCAGGTGGCTGCGCGGCGGGTCTCAAAAAAACGAAAAGAGTAGAGGTTGGGGGCGGGTCGCTGGCCTGGGTAGGGGTTTTTAGGGTTTTGGAGGCCAAGCAGCAAAACGCAGCGCAGCGGTAGTGGGAGGGGGGGATTTCAGTATCGGTATTACCGACTTACCGTCGGTATTTACCGATATCGTGTCCGGTAAACCGAGTATCCCAAGTTACCTCTCGGCCGCCGGTTACCGGTTCGGTAAAACGGTAAACCGTTTACCACCCATGAATGCGCCTCCGAGCGAAACATTTCATGACACATCATTGATGAATAAGACATGAGAAAAAGAATGTACGGGGACAACCCCATTCCTTCCTATTAGCGTGAAATGACTTTCATTCAATCAGTCTCCTCTGCTCTCTCTGCATTGGCTTCTACTTTCACGTACCTTATGGCCTCAGTCATTGACTTTGCCCCTTATGCTCCTCCATTTAACGAAGAATTTAGTGGTTCTTCACTCCCGAACGAATTGGGACAATATCGTAGTAGAGCTCCTAGCCATGCTTTTGACAAATCCCTCTCCGCCGTCATCTACTGGTTGATTGTATACTGCCATCTGCCTGACTATGGCTTTTAGAAAGAGCATCCCATACAGAGTCTTTCAACTAACAACTAAGTCATACGAGCCTTCACCTAATCTCTCATGGGGCCTTCCTATAGATAAGATAGGCGCAAGTCGTTTCTCATCTTTGAGGAGCGAAAGCCACTCGACTCTAAAGGAGAGGAGAGGCATTCTATCTTGATTTTCTCTTCTCTAGAAGAAGGATGCAGGGGACACGACACCATTCACTTAGGAGATTGGGGACCACCTCCTTCAAAGACCTATTAACATTCGATTGCGGGGAAAACCTCTATATTAGTCTTAGGTTAAGAAATGAAAATTAAAAGATTCTGCTCGTGAGCATAATGGTATAACCCCGCCTGTTGAAAATCGTAACGTAAGTAACTTAGTGCAAAATCAAAAGTGAAGTACCCGTATGTGTGTAATTTGGTTAATTGTCTAGTTTTGTTATGAGTCAATTAAAATGAGTTAATGCATATTCTTTGCCCTCATCTAAGACAATTGTAATTAACTAAAATAGAAAATTGGATTCATTCATTATTTCTCCTACCAAATTGGTCCATCCAAATCTTGTCCAAGGTTGTGAACCCGCAGGTCAACTCACTTTGACCTTGACCCGAGGAGAAAAACGAGCCGCACGCACCCGTCGGTTCGACCGTTACAAGGTATCGGGTTGGAGGTCAAATTGTGTCATTTTTCTTTGGTTTGCGAAATGCGCCTATTTTCCGAATTTTCTTTTCGCCTAACTCAATCTTTGGGATCCTTAGTTGAACATTTGAATATTGATGTTTATATAAGTGTGTGTGAATTTTCACTATACGTTGGATCTAAGTATGACATGTTACTTTGGTGTAATAATATATGTTATTACTCATATGTTAGATGAGATTTGATATAATTTATTAGGATAAGTACAATGTAATGACTCTTTCCATATTTTCGGTCTAAAACAGGTGACCCATTAATCCTTGACCAACTAGCTCGATCGGATTCGGGTCAACCCGCGAGTTGACAACCTTGATCTTGCCTAATTATCTCAAAACGAGATAACTAAATAAAATTAACCCGTTATAATTTCACATTAAACCATCTTTTAATTTTTTTAAATGAGCGATTTGGCATACTTCCTAATTTATACAATTCTGAATTCTACCCTAGAGGTGGGCAACGATTCAATTCACATCTGACTGAATCGAACCGAATCGAAGTGTTTATCTTTTGATTTGACTTTGGTTCCTGAATTTGGGACATTTTCGGTTTTGGTTCGGTCCAGACCAAAACCATAAAATCAAGCAAAGGACCGGACCGAATCGCAGTTAAATTAATTGCCTATTTTACTAGGCTATAAGAAGGCAAGTCGACTTGGAGTTGGAAACCCTAGTACCCTACACAACATTTATGACTTAACTACCTATAAATATGATTGACTTTCCCTGACTTTGACTCGCCGCTCCCGCTCCTATAGTCCTACCTTCAAATCAGAGCTCTCATCCGCGTTGCTTCGATCAAAAAGTTGCTTACTTTACCTACACACTGTGAGAAGATGCGAATAAATGATACCACAGAGGCTTTCTGCCAAGTCTGACAACACCACTGCAAATTAGCAAGGTTAAGAACCATTTGTTTTATTGCACTAGTTCTTGGGTAAGTGTCAGTTTGTTAAACTCTTTTCTAATGCCTTATATCATGTGCTCATATGGCAGAAGAGAGGCTTTCTAATGAACATTGGAAATTCTGGAGATTGGGCGGTCCAACGTGCACTCTGGAAATGAAAATGGAAGATTGGAGAGACAATTAGTTAAGTAGTTCTCATTTAGCTTTTTGCCTAATATTTTGGAACATGTGGTTTTTCAGAATTGTGGAGTATTTAAATTGGGATAATTTGATTACTTCTTTTCGTGTAGTTACATGTTTTTAATTCTTGTGTTGTCCTTTAAGAGTGATTTTATTCGAATGAAAGATTAGTCGATCCAATGGGATGGTTCAGACCGAATCGAGCCATATATGATTTGATCCAAGCTGAATCGAAGTAATAACGATTCGACTTTGGTCATTGATTTAGAAATTTTTGTGATCGAATCCGAGGAAGTTGGTCCAGTCTTGACCGAATCGACCGATGCCCAACCCTATTCTACCCCTTGGACAAGACGCATCCGCTACCGTTGCCACTGTTGGGAAGCCCTCTTTTCCGTCTCTCTGCAATTCCGCCGTTGCGATGGCGGCTGTACGAATGATAGGCAAGTCCTACTGTAATTCCAACCATTGATTCAAATTCTAAACGACGGGAACGCCTAACTGACGATCTCTTCCTTCCATTCTTTTCTGGAACAGATATTGCGGTAAACTTCACAGGTCGGTCAGTCATTTCATCAAGCAACTGCTGAGCATGTCAAGCTGTGATTTCATCCTTTAATCAGTTCAGGAAATGAGTGATGTTTAATTTTTTTGTTAGATGGCATGTTCAAAGGAATCTATAATGGCAAGCAGCACCATGTAGCGGACATACCTGCTGTCCTGACTCGGGCTTGGAACGCAGGTGTGGAACGCATCATTGTAAGTTTCCTTCTGAGACCAGCCTTCTCTAGCTGCTTTCAGCTCGCTTATATTGAATGACGGGTTTCTCCTTGGATTCCAATTGTTCTGTATAACCATCTCCAAATATGTTTGCTATCAAATGTCTCTCCTTTGAAAGTGGGAGGGTTTTTGTTTCCTACCGTTTCTTCTGGATTTGGCTGTTGTATGTTGTCCCTGCTTCTGTTGGTCTTGTGCTAGTCAAAGACTGCATAACTAAGATTGGCATCATGAAAAGAAAAAAGAAGAGTCTTTTTCAGTTAGTGTGAAATGCTTAAAGCTTTCAGGGGTGCTAACTTATAGTCTTCTTTGAGGCGAGCGGTTTCTAACTGTGGTAATATGATTTTTGGTCACAGGTCACTGGTGGGTCTCTGGAGGAGTCGCGGGAAGCTTTGGCAATTGCCGAGACAGATGGTTTGTCTCTTCTTATTTTGTTGAAGCTTGTTGGAGAATTGCTTTCAGCACTTTGATTTCTATTACCTTTCACAGGAAGGCTTTTCTGTACTGTTGGTGTGCACCCTACTAGATGCAAGGTTCATTTCAAGTCACTGGATTTCCTTTCCTGTAGAAGTTTACTTTCCCTTTTTTCCTTCACGTTTCCCCTCACCCATTCTCTCGGATTTATTCAGGAATTTGAAGAAAGTGGGGATCCGGAGAACCATTTCCAAGCTCTGTTGTCGTTGGCCAAAGAGGGAATTCAGAAAGGAAAGGTATCATTTTCTAGTCTCATCTACAATCACACAGTCATGGTGCGCTGTCATAAAATTTTGTACATCCACGATACATTTTTGCTTTGACGATGAAGATGGTCTGAAATATATGTAATCTGACATTAAATGATTGGTTTCTGTTTTGATAATTGAGATGATTGGGGCAGATGGCTTCTCAATACCATATTGCTGATGTTATGAGTTATGTACTTATATGCATATGCATGTAGACATGCACAAACATCTTAGCTGTATGTTCAAAATCCTCTGCAGCCTTGTTCTCGTCTCATCTCTGGCACGCACACTGTCAACTGTACTAGTTGCAGTGTCAGATATCTTACATGCTGATATACATTACGAGGTCGGAACTGTATCCTCATTGTGAAGAATGCTTGCACGTTATTTATGAGTGTTAGTTTAGTAGCTACAACTCTTTCATGACCACATTTTCCGTTGAATTTTCAACACTGAAGGTTGTGGCAGTTGGTGAGTGTGGACTGGACTACGACAGGCTCCACTTTTGCCCTGCTGAGATTCAAAAGAAGTAAGTTCTTTTGGAGAAGCCATTCTATGCACTTTCATGCCTTACCTAACCATTGTGATTAGAGAGTGCATGCATTGATAACTTAGGTATTTTGAGAAGCAGTTTGAATTAGCACATGCCACAAAGCTGCCTATGTTCCTCCATATGCGTGCAGCTGGCGAGGACTTTTGTGAGATCATGGATCGTTACAAGGACAGGTTCGTTACCTAATGCTTGGCTTGAATGGTACTTGCTACTGTCTTTTCCTGCACCACTTAATTGAGGTGGCTGTGAGCCACGGCTCCATTTCCCTTGAGTGCAATAAAATTTATGCGAATTCACTTCTTGATTGATAATGTTGAGCCACTGGTTTAGCTTAAACTAATTTAGCTCATTTCTAGTATATCTGGTAATTGTCTTTGTTTTCTAGGTTTGTGTTTTTAAGGTCTTGGTGCAGGTGACAAACTTCATGTAATTTTCAGGTTCACCGGTGGTGTAACGCATTCCTTTACTGGCAGCACAGAAGATCGTGATAAACTTCTTGCATTCAGAAATATGTATATAGGTGAAATACTCTCATTGGCAGACTTTTCAAGCTTCTCTTTCCGTTCACTGATGTTTTCATTGTACATTTCCCGGATTCAGGTAGCTTCTTCTGAAATAACTACTTGGTTTTGTCTGTACGAGCCTAGAATATCCAGAACTGCCTTTACTTTTTCTAGCCTTCAAAAAGTGATTTCTCAATTATTGCTCATCTAGGAAAAACTGAAAGTGGAAGGCACTGTCAACTTAGTTCCCGTTCCAAACCTATAAAACTTTGATAACTTTGCATCTTTGTACACATTTCCAGTTGCTATTGGTAACTGAGTTTCTCACCAAGCTTTCCACTGCAGGTGTGAATGGTTGCTCTTTGAAGACAACTGAGAACCTTGATGTTGTGAGGGACATTCCCATTGACAGAATGATGATAGAGACCGACTCTCCCTATTGTGAAATAAAGAACACACATGCAGGAATCAAACATGTAAAATCATCCTGGCCTTCCAAGAAGAAAGAGAAGTATGAACCAGGGTCCATTGTCAAAGGCCGGAATGAACCTTGTTTAGTTCGGTAAGTGGAACCCTCGGCTTTATCTAGAGGTTAAGCCTATCTGGATGTCTCTATTCCTTTGTACAGCTCTTGAGTGTGTTCGGCTAATGTTACTTTTGAAAATAAATATATATACTCGGCTGTTTGTTTTGCATAATTTATATACGATGTTACTCTTTTCAGGCAAGTTTTAGAGGTCGTGGCAGGCTGTAAAGGCATCACTAATACTGAAGAAATGAGCAGAATCATCTACCACAACACCTGCAGGTATGTGCCTTCTCAATGACCCTGAAAATTCTTGCCCTGCTCACTAGCCCAGGGAAATAAAAACCCAAGACTTCTGTATACGTAATCCAATATACTTCTTGGCAGAATGTTCTTTCCGCAGGACTTGGATTCCGCTGCAGAGTTACTTCTTGCTGGTGGCGATCAGGATTCTCAGCTAACATGAACTGTTTTCCTGCTGGTCGTGATCATGACTCTCAGGGAAAATGCCTTATTCCCTCTTTTGCTCAACTTTTTCTAGTTGGAATAAACCCACTCTCATGTATTTTTAAGTTCCCCTGAGAATACTTCAAACCTGGCTTTTTATCGAGACATCTTTGATATTAGTGCTGGTTCTTTAGAGTTATACTGATACTTGCTTGAACGAGTCTTCAAAAAGTTTTCACTTGGTACAAATATATTGCAATATATATGGTCATCCATTGAGCAACAATTTTCTGCAGTAAAGGTACTCTATAAATTGGCTGATCAGTAGCAATCTAGTAAGATCCCACGCCAATATTCACAAGCCACACTTTGAAACCTATAGCTGGATGCTTGCTCTTCAAGGCACCTAGTTTCTTGTGTTGTGTCTTCGTCTGACTGTTTCGCACTGTGTGGTGGAGCATAGTGAAGGAAAAAAGCTCCTTAGGAAGGTTGACGGATAGATGGGGAGAAAATACTTTGAATTGATATGCGGAAACGTCTACTCGGAGCTTATGCTCGAAACCAACTGGTTGCTATCATCGTCAGTAGTTGACTTGAATCCTGATGAAGATTGTGAAGAATCATCAAAATGGTAGAATACGTGAAGAGCTGCCTCATTAGACAATGTGAGCAAAGTGCTACACGAATAGGGTGTTCCATCTTGGTAACATGAGCACGAGTAGAGTTGAGTCATCTCACTCTTTGTTCAAGACTTTTCTTGTATATGGCGGAGGAGAGTCGGACACTTGTTTTGTGAAGAATCACAAATGCATGGAAGCTCAATTTGCGGAAGTGATGAATGAACTGCACAAGTCACTCAACCGCAACCTGAGTAGGGCAATTGAGCCCTTCGTGCATGTTTTTGAGGAGGATCTTCAGTTGTGAGGCGATCAAACTAATGTTAGATGGGATGGCAAACCTAAAGGACAGTTGTGAGTGCAATTTTCAAATGACACATGGGCTCAAATGTGCTTGTCGAGATAACTCATCCCAGACCCCAGACAAAAACCTTACCTTCCCATGGATAAGCTTTTTCCAGAGTTTGTTCGCCTGTTGGTGGTAGGCAATTTCAACCCTGATCTAGACCACCAATGTGGTTTTATGGCACTTTCTCATTGTCTATGGATGGACCAGAATCACTATCTGGGAGTTAAAGCGGAGTTAGCACAAGAAATCCAACGTTACTTTTGGAAGTACGTATGATTGTGTCCAGGAAGTGCAAATGGCCTGAACGGTGAGATGAAAGGTATAGTTCAACGCATCAATTGGCTCATGTCAGGTTATGCACCAAAGGGGTGATAGATGGATTCCAAGGACCTGTTCGCGTTCACAACCATTCAAAACATTGCAGTCGTCGTCTTCTCGTACCATTCGATCGATGCTCGTAATCCAACTAATCCACTACCCAACGTCTATATTGATCACTAAACTATATGGCCTATTTATGCGGCGGATGGTGCAGCACCACCATCCTTGATCTTATCACTACACTACGTGAACGGCCACTATATTTGATTGTTCTTCAACCAAGATAAGTTTCTCATACCTCCTCTACATCCATTGTGGCAGGAGCTAGCCAGGACCGATCCATGATATTCGGAGGTCCTGTTCGAAAATTAAAATGTTGCCCAAATCCAAATTTCCAAGCAAAATCTCTCCAACTAGCACTAGTCCAAATTTCCAAGGAAAATCCCTCTAAAAAATAAACAAAATTGGTTAGAATGCCAGGACACTCGGCAAAAAAAAAAAAAAAAAAACCAAAGGATTTCGGCCCCTTCCAATTTACCTGCCCATCCAATTTTTGGCCCAGCCCGGGGCCCCATTGCCTCTCCAATTCAAAGACTCCATTCGGCCATATTGGAAACAGAGGAAGAAGGCGAGCGGCCCCATCCTCCAAGCAGCAAGCAGAAACAGAGTATGGGCCAACTTGAGGCCCCTCAAAATATGAGACCCTGTGCTGTGGATCAGGCCAGCTCAAGGTCGGGCCTGAGGCTAGCACATCACAATGTGAAAGGTGTTGCTGTTTGGTTGCCACCTCTCCACAAAAGCTGAAATCATAGCCTTATCAATCGAAATCTTGCGAACATACAAAACATCAAGTGTTGGAAATCTATCTGTTGAACCAACTTTTCTACCTCATCGTGCCTAAACTCATTAGTTATGCAGATAGTCAACCGTGCTTGTACAACTGTAGCAAGTGATGACTCCTCGGTCTCCAATCCTTGTCCAAAGCGCATTGGCGGTGTGGGCATGCAAACTCTTAATGAGGTTAGGACTTAGGATCCCTAGATCTACCGGGACACTCACCAACAAGCTTCCACGGTCAGGGAGCACTCGACTCCTCCTGAACAGGTGTTACGAACCGCCCACCACGGTCCCTATACATAACCGGACGTGATGAAGCCGTATAGGATGGTCCTCGTCCACGTCCACGCTCGACTGGAGGGACCTAATAATTAAATTAAATAAAAAAATTAACAACATAATAATTAAATTAAATTAAATTAAATCGAGCCAATAAATTTGGTAGACGGGACGCGGCCGGACCGAAGGGATCCGACGGCCACGACGAGGGCGAGCCGAAGGTTTTCAGCAGCCGGGACTAGGCTGGGCCGAAGGATTCCATCAGCTTGGACGAGGTCGAGCAGAAGGAGCTCGGCCTTGTCGTGGCCGGCGAAACCCACCGTCCTAGCCTCGCTCACGCCGAAATACATATTCCAGGAGGGCGAGACCAGGTAAGGCCGAGGCGACTCATCCTTGTCGGAGCTGAGAAATCCTTTTGGCTCAACTTCGCTGGCCCAGGAATGGATTTTTCCGGCCACGTGGGTGTGGTGGCCGGCGACGAGTACTTGATTTGGAGGATGACGTCTAGAGATGGCAATGACTCGGGTTTGTGGCGGATTGTACTAAACCCACCTGATAGACCGTTAATACACATGTTTTCACCCCTGTTCTTACACCGTTTGAGATGTGGTTTCTCGTGTTTTAGGCCGATTTCACGCTAGGTTGTGTTTGTTTGTGATATTTCAGGTCCTAGTACGTGAATGGAGGCTTGGGAGCGAGTTTGGGGTCGATTGGACGAAGATCGGGCGCGAGGCAAGTCAAAAAGGAGGCCACACGGGCACACCCACAACTCACACGGCCGTGCAAGTGACCACTTTGGCCGTGTGAGATTGTGCGAGAGCAAACACGGCTTGCCCTGATATCCACACGGCCGTGTGAAGGAGTGGTCTGGCCGTGTGAGATTGTGCGAGAGCAAACACGGGCAGGATGGAAATCACACACGGCCGTGCGACCCTGGCCGTGTGGGAAGCCTGAAGATCGAACTAATTGGAACGCAGCGTTTTGACTCACACGGGCAACTGGGTATGCCACACGGCCGTGTGGCCCAGCCCGTGTGAGTCGGGAATTCCTGGTTTTAACCCAATTTCTGGCTGCAAGAGAGAGGATCGGATTTTTGAGCAAAAACAGAGCCATAGAGAGAGAAAGGACGAAGAACACATCCTAGAAGCTATCTTGGAGCTGGGTTTCATCAAATCAAGCTTGGAGATCGTCATAGGAGTGGAAATCATCATCCCAGAGCAGATTCTTCCCATAATTATGAGTATGACTGCTTTGTATCTTGTTTTCCTCTCTCTCTATGGAGTAGAACCCCTCTCTCACTTGGGGATGAAGAACCCTAGTTCTATGTGTTAGGGATTGATTGTAATGACTTGGGATGATATTACTGTTTGATTTTAATCGAATGATGCATGTTTATTGAGTCAATTGAAGTCTGATCAACTTTTCCTGATTCCTGCTGCAATCTGAGATAGATAGAATCTGATTAGGTTGCTAGAGTCTCATCATTTGGTAGTAGGAGATTGGCTATACGAGAGTTAGCCAGTGTACTGCTTTGTACTGGAATCTAATTCCAGTAGTGGAGTTCTGTTCTTACTGCTTCAGCTTTCTATCTCGGTGAAGACTAGTCGTCTGCCGGGTAGATAGACCGAGAGGGCTTGGTCAGCTTAAGAGATTCCAAGCTACTGTCGGATCTTCCGCAGTCTAATCAACAGTAAATCAACCCAGGGAAATACAATTGAAACCTAACTAAGGAGCTAGGGGGACTCATTCCCGAGTGACTCTTACCTGCTTGAGAAAACCGTATCAATTCCTGCTTTCTTTTTGCGTTTGCTTTTAAACAACAATCACTTACTTTAGTTGGCTAGATAATAGAGAATCAAGGAGTAAGCAGTAGATCTAGACCCCGGGTTGATAATATAACTTGCCTGTTACTGCATTCCCGGTCTGCGATTACACTTGGTCGCAGATTGGTGTTGTGTTTTGGCGTGTCAAGTTTTTGGCGCCGTTGCCGGGAACCCTCTAGGTTATTGGGGAAACGTGAGAATTTGTTACCATTTTGACTTGCCTCGCGCCCGATCTTCGTCCAATCGACCCCAAACTCGCTCCCAAGCCTCCATTCACGTACTAGGACCTGAAATATCACAAACAAACACAACCTAGCGTGAAATCGGCCTAAAACACGAGAAACCACATCTCAAACGGTGTAAGAACAGGGGTGAAAACATGTGTAATTAACGGTCTATCAGGTGGGTTTAGTACAATCCGCCCCAAACCCGAGCCATTGCCATCTCTAGACGTCATCCTCCAAATCAAGTACTCGTCGCTGGCCACCACACCCACGTCGCCGGAAAAATCCATTCCTAGGCCAGCGAAGTTGAGCCAAAAGGATTTCTCAGCTCTGACAAGGATGAGTTACCTCGGCCTTACCTGGTCTCGCCCTCCTGGAATATGTATTTCGGCGTGAGCGAGGCTAGGACGGTGGGTTTCGCCGGCCACGACAAGGCCGAGCTCCTTCTGCTCGACCTCGTCCAAGCTTATGAAATCCTTCGGCCCAGCCTAGTCCCGGCTGCTGAAAACCTTTGGCTCGCCCTCGTCGTGGCCGTCGGATCCATGACCGTCGGCTGCTGAAAACCTTCGGCTGGTTTCGTACCATTTTGTGGGGGTCGGTTGGGGCCCTTAATGATGTGCTTTGAGGGTGTGTTTAGTATGGATGTGAACCTTGAGTTGCCTACTTGTTCATGGATTTGCACCCCCACTCAGATTATGCTTGATTTATCGAGGTTTTGACCCCCGAACTATGGATGAAACCATGGTTAGGCTGTTTTCTGTTCTTAAGTGTGGGGGGTGTGATTAACATTTTCCTTGGCTGTTTTGGTTCCACTTTGGGCTGTTCTTTTGCAGGACCATGTCGAAGCCTAACCTCCGGCACTAG